CACCTGCAGCGTTCCCCCTCCCTCCCGCCTCATCCTGCCGGGTCACGCTGCAGTGGTTGTCCCCAGCTATGTGGCACAGGGTGGCACTGGTGTTGTGTGTGTGTGTGTGTGTGTCCCTCCCCAGGGTCCCTCCCGCCTGTGTCACCTCGCATCCAGCAGTTTGGGGTCCAGCGGCGGGTACATGGATCTCACCACGTCGTCCACCCTGCCGGCAGGGATGGAGTGAACCCCAGGGGACATCATAGTGACACCCTCTATCACACCCTCCCCTGCCCAGAATGCCAAGGACAGCCCCCCCCCCCCCCTCCCCTTGTCACCTGGGGCTGATGCGTTTGGCCACCACGATGATGTCACCCAGGCTGGCGGGGGACTTCACGCGGGCACCCGAGCCCATGGTCATGGCCACCAGCTTCTCCGTCAGTGTGTGACAGATCTGCAGGGGACGGACACACACACACACACACACACACACACACACACACACAAAACGGGAGGGGGCCAGGGTGGGTTCTTGGTGCCACCACTGTCACCAGCACCACTGGTACCACCAGTGCCACCCCCTGGACTCACCTTCAGGATGGCGATGCAGTGGGATACCAGACCCCTGTGGAGAGGGAGGAGGGCGTGAATCCAGGTGGACCCCTCCCCGTCCTCGACCCCATGTCCCGTCCCCCCCCCCCACCTGCCTGCCCACACCCCGTGTCTCCCAGACCCTCGGGGACATTCCCACCCAGAGACCTGCTTGAGGACCATGCCTTCTTGGGACCGGCCATGGCTTGGTGACCCCCAAATCTCTGCTACCTGCATCCCACGATGGGGGGGTTGGCACTGCATGGGGGTCCCCAGCAGTGGAGGGGGGGGACACCAGGCACGCTGGGGACACGCGCACACACACACACACTTACGAGGCGTCCTCGACCCAGTCCTCGTTCTCCAGGATGGCCTCGATGTGGGGGTTGGTGATGACCACATCATCCAGCTCCAGCTCTGAGGGCTCCGATGGTGTCTCGGTGGTCCCCATCAGGTCCACGATGGGTCTGTGGGGACATGGGGGACATCCCTGGGGACAGGGCCGCCTCCTTGGGCTCCCCCCTCCCCACCCCACGCCTTGACGATACTGGATGTGACCCCAGCATCATCCTCCTGATGATGGTGGACACGTCCCCAGCATTGTCCCCGGCCGGCCCATGGGGTTTGGGGTCCCTCCCCGCCCTCCCCTCACCCAGTGGGGACGGGGACGATGCCACCCCAGCAGGATCACTCACTTGGTGTCGTAGTGGTGCCGGAGGTCTTTGGGGTGGCAGTACCGCTGCCGGCAGACCACCACCAGCGCCACGAAGGACGCCAGGAAGATGGTGGCCAGCACCCCGATGGCCACGATGACAACCGTCTCCATGGCCGGTCCCCGCCGGGGGGGTGGCTCAGGTGTCTGACACCATCTCAGCACGGCAGGGTCTGCGGAGACGGGGGGGACCAAGGAGGGGTTGGGAACCCTGCAGATGTTCTTCCCCCCCACACCCCAAAATGCTCGACCAGGACCTGGTGTCACCCACAGATGGATCCCTGGCCCAGGGGTCCTTAGAGTCACCTGGGAGGGGACCAGGGGGAAAGGGTAGAGTAGGATTTGGCCATGGTATGTGGGGGGCTGCCCCCAGCCCGCTGCCACGGCCATGGTGACATGGAGCAGGAGCTGGGGTCAGGAGAGGTCTGGGCTGTACGGGGCTGCAGGGACCCCCAGAGCCCTGTCCCTATGAGGCCACGGGGACCCACAGAGCCCTGTCCCAATGGGGCCACGGGGACGCCCAGAGCCCTGTCCCTATGGGGCTGCAGGGACCCCCAGATCCCTGTCCCTATGGGGCCATGAGGACCCCCAGAGTCTGTCCCTACAGGGCCACAGGGACCCCCAGAGCCTGGTCCCTATGGGGCCACAGGGACCTCCAGAGCCCTGTCCCTATAGGGCCACGAGGACCCCCAGAATCTGTCCCTAGGGGGCCACGGGGATCCCCAAAGCTCTGTCCCTTTGGGGCCATGGGGACCTCCAGAGCCTGATCCCTGTGGGGCCACAGGGACCTCCAGAGCCCTGTCCCTATGGGGCCACGGGGTCACCCAGAGCTCTGTCTCTTTGGGGCCACGAGGACCCCCAGAGTCTGTCCCTAGGGAGCCATGGGGACCTCCAGAGCCCTGTCCCTATAGGGCCATGGGGACCCCCCAAACCATCCCCAACACAACAGTGGGGTCGCCGAGTCCCCGTCCCCACGGGGAGCAGGACACCCGGCCACACCAGGCCCAGGGGACACCAGCCCGGGGCAGAGCCGGCTGGGACCCCCGTGTCACTCTACGGGTCCCTGGTGGGTGCCCACCCTGGAGCAGGGGGGGGGGTCACCCCAACCTGCCGGGGTGGGGGGCACCCAGCCCTGCCCTCCCTACCTGCCGCCAGCCGGGAGCCACCGCCGGGGACGGGGACACGGGGACACGGCCACTTCCGCACCGAGCGTGCAAACGCCGCCGGCTCCTGACCTTTACACCCTGACTAACGCCTGGGCCCCCCCACCTGCGCCAGATGTGCCTCCCCCCCCCGCCCCAAACCGCCCAGCCCTGCTCCCCAGCACATCCCCCCATCCCACCTTCCTCCCTGCCACCCCCCCCCCCCCCCCCCCCCCCCCCCGTAAATCCCATTGAATTTTAAGCCATGTTTAGTGATTTGGCTTAGTTTTCAAGGCTGGGTGCACTTGTCCCCACCCCTCCACCCCCCCACCCCCAGCCACGCAGGACTGGGGACAGCGGCGGGGGGGACACACACACACGGTGGCCTTGTCCTCCCCCCACTTTCCCACTGCGATTAATGCCTTAAGAGGGATTTTGGTCACTAAAGCCGGTTCTGCGCCATAACCCCTTGGTGCCTGCGGGGGTGTTGGGGGGGGGGGGGGGGCGTGTGTCAGCCCCAGGTGGGTCCCCACCCCCCGGCCCGGCGGGGGGGGGTCTCTGCCCCTGGTTGGGTTGGGGTCGGATCCTGCCTGTGCAGCGCCGAGCACTGGAAGGGGGGGGGGTGTCATGTGGCTTCAAGGGGACGGGGGGGGCGGGTCCGGGGGGGCCCTGCGAGAGGGGGTTGCTGCTGGGGCGGTCTGGGGGGGGGGTCTCTAAGGGTCGGGGTGGAGGGGGGGTGGTCGCTGCTGGTGGCTCGACGCGGTTCCTGGTCCCGCACAGCTCCGGTTGCGGGGGGGGTGGGGGGGAAACGGGACGGGACTGGTGGGGGTCCCGCGTGGCCCCCGAGGGGGGGTCGCTCCGGGGGTCTTGCACGGCTCTATTGGGGGGCAGCGGTCCCAGGAGTCCCCTAAAGCCCCGGGGGTCCCGTACAACCACGGAGGGGGGGGGGGCGGGTGCTCTCGGGGGTCCCAAGAAGCAGGGGGGGGGATCGCTGCGGGGGTCCCACACGGCCCCGGGAGGGGGGGGGGGGGGTGTCACTCCGTGAGTCCCGAGGTGGCGGGGGGGGGGGTCGCCCCGGGGTCCCCTTCCGCCCCGCGGGGTTTCGCTCCCCCCCTCCCCCTCGGCATGTCCCTGCGCGGGACCGGGCGGAGCGACACCCCCCCCCCGCCCCCCCCCCCCCCCAAACTTTTCCCGGCCCCCCCCAAACACCACCACCACCCCCCCCCCCCTCACCTGGAGCCGCTCCGCGGCGGCCGCGCACAAGATGGAGCCGGGGCGGGGGGCGCGGAGCGGGGCCCTGTCCCGGCTCTGCCCCCGCCCCCCCCCCCCCCCCTCCCCGGGCCGGCCCCGCCCCCGCCCGCCCCCCGGGACCCCGGCCCGGCCCCCCCCCCGCCGCCCCGCCCCACCCCGGAGAGGCCCCCGCGGGGGGGGGGGTGGTGGTATCCAAGTTTTCCCTTCGTGTCCCAGTGCGCCCCCCCCCCCCCCCCCCCCACTGTCCCCAAATCTCCCCACTGCATCCCCAAGGGTCCCCGTCCTGTCCCCGGTGTGTGTGTCCCAAAGTACCCCCCACTGCGCCCCCAAAGCATCCCCTCGCACCCCAGAGTATCTCCTTGCGTCCCAAAATGTCCCCGCTGAATCCCAAGTTGTCCTCACGACACCCTCAAGTATCGCCAGGGCACCCCAAGGTGCCCTGATCGTGTCCCCAACTGTCCCCACTGCATCCCAAAGTGTCCCCTCTATGTCCCAGCCATCCCCACTGTGTCCCAAACCCCTGTCAGGTGCTGACCTGCTCCTGTTATGTCCCAAAGTGTCACCGCCATGTCCCAAAGCGTCCTCCTCGTGTTCCTGCTGTGCCCTTTAGCGTCCCCATTACCTCCCACAGCGTTTCAGTTGTGTCCCTTACTGTCCCTTTTGCATTCCATACTGTCCAGGTTGAGTCCCAAATCGTCTCCATCATGACCCAAAGTGTCCCCATCCCAGAGGGGTCACTCTGGGTGGCGGTAGCTCACGTCCCACTGACACCCACTCCCCACCATATCGCTCTCAGCACCCGTCCCCGCTGCCTGTGGTGACACGACGACATGGGGTTTGGCCAGGAAAGGTGTCCCAAAGCTCGGGGGACACAGTCGCCACGGTGGCCTGGAGTCTCACCCCCTCCGGGGCTGCCGAGGTCCCCTTGTCCTCGTGGGGTACAGAGGGCACATCTTGTCCCCGGGGGTCACCAGGAGCCAAGGGGCACTGAGCCCCTGCTGTGCCACCCGTGTCCCCGGGGATGTCCCCATGCCCTGCCAGCAATGCCTCGTCCTCGCGGCGGAAGGGGCTCTTTATTTGGGAATACAGCGGTGGGCTCGTGCCGGACACGGGCTCTGGCCGTGGCACAGCCCGGTTTCTCCGTGCCTGTCCCCGCCGGTGGCACCGTCCCCGCGGGCACTGCCCGGCCGGGCACCTCCACCCTCTCATCCCGGGGACGTGCCGCTGGCCTCGGCAAGCTGGGGACCGCAGGGCTCCACCGTCCCCTCCTGAACAATGGGGACCACCCCCCCCCCCCCCCAAAACCCCCACGCACCCCCTGGGGCTCAACCGCTGCGGATCTGGCCCCAGCGGGAGCGGGTGGCAGAGGAGGACGGGGTGCTTGGGGTGCCCCCAGCTCCGGCACCCGTCCCTCGAGCCGCATCCCGAGCGAGCCAGGCCACCGCGCTGCCCTTCGTCGAGCCTCACGCTTGCCACCACCCATCGTCCGAGGTGACACAAGGCCAAGTCCTTCCCCTGAGACGCTGCTCCTTCATGTCCCCACTGCTGGGCTTGTCCCCATGCCTGTCCCCAGGGGGGTTTAGCCATCAGGGAAGATGTAGCTGTACTGGTTGAGGATGTGCTCCACCACCTGGTTCTGGAAGACCATGTGCATGGCCATGTTCCCCTCCTCGCTTGCCGGCCGCAGCAGTGTGGGGCCGAAGACGATGGCGATGCTCTGCACCGACATGCGGTTCTCCTCCTTGTACTCAATAACCCTGGGGGGGATGAGGGACGGTGTCACCCGGCATGTCCCTAAACACAAGTCCTGTCCCCCTTCCTGCCACTGGGTTGGGTTTGGGGGGAGCGAGACGCGTGTCACCTGCAGAGGTGGCGGAAGAGGATCTTCATCGTGTCATGGTGGGCGGGTGGGAGGGAGAACACCAGGTCACGGACGCACCGGCCCCTCCTGGTTGGGTCCTGCATCTCTGCAAGGGGAGGGAGACATGGTGGGGTGCTGGCTCGGGCAGCCGGAGCAGCTGTCCCTGTCCCCATCCCCATCCCCGTCCCCATCCCCATCTCCATCCCTGTCCCCATCCCATCCCATCCCATCCCCTGTCCCCATCCCCGCCCCTGTCCCCATCCCCACCCCTGTCCCCAGGCCTCACTGATGGCAGCAATGAACTTGTCGAAGTGGCTGAAGGGGACGAGTGGCTCCGGCAGTTCCCTGAAGAAGAGCTTCAGCGCCCCGGTGACAACATGGATGTCCTCCCAGCGCCCGTCATCCAGGTCCAGGTGCTCGTCTGCGGGGTCGGGGCAGCACCTCAGGCAGGTCCCAGAGCCCCAGGGGTGCGCAAGGGTCCCTGTCCCCTCCCTGCCTGGCCGGAGCCCCATCACGCTGCCCTTGGTGTGTGTGTGGGGGTGTTACATCCCATTTGCCCCCCCGTTGCCACCGTGGGTGACCTTACCGTGCTCCACTTTGTAGCGCAGTTTCTGGATGGTGGCCAGGTTGCCGCTGACCCGGTACAACCCATCGATGTCCAGACCTGGCGGAGGACGGAGGTGGAGATGGGGGGAAAGCTCCTAGTTAACCACAACCCTCCCTGGGATGTGACACCAGCCACCATCGAGGGAGCTCTGGGCGCCCGCGTGTCCCCACTGTCCACTGGAAGGTGCCCACAGCCGGGTGGCACACGGTGACAGGGACCAGTATGGCCGTGCCGGTGCCCACAGCAGCCAGCACCGGGATCCCAGAGAAAACCCAACCGCCAACTTTAGGCTTTGCCCAGAGCTGTCCCCATGCTGGTGCCCCCCGTGTTGTCCCTGTCCCCCAGCCCCAGGGCAGTACCTCTCCTCTCCACCGTCTGGATGCACTGCAGGACGAAGCGGGGCACCGTCCCCCGCTCCCGCTCGCACAGCGCTTGCAGGAAACAGCCGAAAACCTGATCTGGAAAAACCAACGGGGCCTTGAGCACGCCCGGGTGACACCGAAAGGATGCTCGGTGGCAGGTCTGGGATGGGGGACAGGGTTGGGGACATCACAGAGGGTCCTGTTCCCATATGGGTGTGACACTGGGGTGGCTGGAGGTGGTGGGACATGCCCAAGATGCTGGGTCAGGGTTGGGCTTGGTCCCCCAACTTTCTGTCCAAGCTCCGTCCTCAGCTGTCCCCACCCACCTTCCCTCCTGGGGACACTCCGGGGGGGCTCAGCCCCATCCCAGCACCCACCCTTGACGCAGCCCCATCCCAGCACCCACCCTTGATGTAGCCCCTCTCGCGCAGGGACTGCAGCGTCGGCCGCCTCTGCAGGAACTTGCGGAGTTTGTTCCGGACTTTGCTGGAGTCGCTCTCGCCACCGGCACTGCCCAGCCCCTGACCGGCCGCTGGCGGGGACAGGGCACCCGTCAGCACCGTCCTGAGGGACCGGGGTGCTCCTGGCACGTCCTGCCATCGCGGGGAGCTGGGGACATCAGGGGGTGACCACCCCACCCTGCCCGGCGGCTGGTGCCGCCGGGGCCCGTCCCCGTGCCGGGCTGCCTGAGCTCACCTGCCCTCTTCTCCTCGCCGCCCCCCAGCTTCTCCCGGGAGCCGAATTCAGCCCCACTTTCGGCATCCTCCTCGCCGGGGAGGTCGGTGCCCTGGGGAAAGGGCAGTGTGAGACCCCTGTGCCCATCCCCGGGGTGGCAGGGCGGCGGGGGTGGCGGGCGCCTGCTCACCAGCCTGCCAATGCTGTCGGCGATCGCCTTCTGCCAGGCGGCGATGATCTGCTCCGAGTCGTGCTGGATGAGGAACTCGGAGCCCTCCCGTGTCTTCAGCTGCGGGAGCAGTGGGCAGCGGTCAGGGCAGGGCTGCGGGGCTGCCTGTGTTTGGCCGCAACCGCCTGGCTTGGGGGCCAGGTTGTGGCTGAGAACGCCACCAAACTCATCACACCGATGACCCCAGCTGTTGCCATTTCCCAGCGAGCCGGCACAGCTGGAAGCTCCCTCCCTGTGCAGAGCCCGAGTGGAAAATCCCCTCTGGGAGTGGGGACGTCCCTTGGTGACAGGGACGGTGGCTGGCAGCGCAGCATGTCCCTTTGTTCCCAGTCTGGGGATGTCCCCCAGTGTCCCCACTGACACCAACCCCAGCGCATCCCCTTCGCCACTGGTGGGGTGAACCAGGTGGGTGCTGGCATTGTCACTGCCCTGCGGGCCAGGTGTGGGCCCTGAGGGGTGACCGATGTCCCCCCCACTGTCACCCGGCTCACCTCCAGGACGTGCTTCTTGCTGGACTTGTCCTTGCCGGCCCAGGCGAGGGTGGCCCCGCGCAGCTCCACCGTGTGCTCGGGGGTGGTCAGGGTGCTGGGGTGCCGCTGCGGGAGCAAGGGGATGAGGGTGGCACTGCTGTCACCCACCCAGAGGGGACGGGGACATCGGGGTCCTGCTCTGCGAGGGGCTGTGTGCTTTCCTCCTCCAGAAAGGCAGGAGTGGCAAATGTCCCCCGTGGGACATCTCTGTCCCCTCCCGTGGCACCGGGGTCTTTCTGCAGGACCAGGACACGGTGCTGCTGCTGGGGGGTGGGTGATGTGGCCACCAGCTCGGGGACAGCCGGGTCCTACAGCTGCTGTCACCCTGTGGGACATCCCCAGCCCTGCCCAGGCACCCTGGGGGTCTTCATCTTTAGGGTCCCTCTTGGTGACAGCGCCGTGCAGGAGCAGCGTTACACAGGGAAAGGAGTCTGGGTGGCTGTCCCTGGGGAGGGGACAGTCCCTTGGGGCTTTCACAGGGGAAGAGCATCAGAACCTCTTGGTCTCCCCACGCCCCTGGGGTTTTGGGGTGCTTTGGCCACGCTCCCCCCACTCCATCCAGCCCCTCCCCATCCCTGTTTCCCAGAAAGGCCCCCCCAGACAGAGCCCTGCACCCACATCCCAGCGGTGGGGCCAGCACTGCGTCTCCCCCCCTCCCCAGCACTGCGGGGTGTTGCAAGAACCTCGGCAGCTTCTGCATCCGGGCGGCGGGTGCTGGGTGCTGGGGGGGGGCTGGGTCAGGCACCGCTTCCTCCCCGCTCGCCCCGACCAGCTCCGCGTGCCCGTTAGGAGCCCTGACACCCCGCCCCGGCCCCCTCCCACGCGGGGAGAATGTGTGGGTGCGAGGGGAGGTGTGAGCACCCACACGCCAGCGTGTGGTGACCCAGTGCTGGGAGGGGTCCTTGTACAGGGTGCTGGGCCTGTCCCATGGGTGCTGGCCTTGTCCTGTGGGTCCTGGCTCCATCCCATGGGTGCTGGCCCCATCTCACAGGTGCTGGCCCCATCCCATGGGTCTGGGCTCCATCCCATGGGGGTTGGACCCATTCCATGAGTCCTGGCCACATCCTGCAGGTTCTGACCCCATCCTGTGGGTCTTTGCTCAGTCCCGTGGGTGCTGGTCCCATCCCATGAGTACTGGCCCCATCTCATGGGTGCTGGCCCCATTCTGTGGGTGCTGGTCCTGTGCTACAGCTGTTGGCCTCATCCTACAGATGCTGGCCCCGTTCCATGGGTGCTGGCCCTGCCCCGTGGGTGCTGGCCCTGTCCCGTGGGTGCTGGCCCTGCCCCGTGGGTGCTGGCCTTGCCCCGTCGGTGCTGACCCTGTCTCGTGGGTGCTGACCCTGTCTCGTGGGTGCTGGCCCTGTCCCGTGGGTGCTGACCCTGCCCCGTGGGTGCTGGCCCTGCCCCGTGGGTGCTGGCCCTATCTTGTGGGTGCTGGCCCTGTCCTGTGGGTGCTGGCCCTGTCCTGTGGGTGCTGGACCTGCCCCGTGGGTGCTGGCCCTGTCCCGTGGGTGCTGACCCTGCCCCGTGGGTGCTGGCCCTGTCCCCATGGGTGCTGACCCTGTCCTGTGGGTGCTGGCCCTGTCCTGTGGGTGCTGGACCTGCCCCATGGGTGCTGGCCCTGCCCTGTGGGTGCTGGCCCTGTCCTGTGGGTGCTGGCCCTGTCCTGTGGGTGCTGGCCCCACTGAGGCCGTGGGGGCTCTTACCAAGGCACCAGCAGCCGAGTGCTTGGAGTCTTTGAAGAAGGTGAGGATCCCCCCCTCCAGCACCGTCCAGGAGGAGCTCCAGTTCTTCCTGGGGAGCAGAGGGGGGGGTCACACAGAGGGACAGCACAGCCCCTGTCCCCTCCGCCCCCCGGGGCTCCCTTCTCTGGTGACGGGGGGACACCAGGATGTACTTACCGGAGCCGTTTCCCTCTGTCCACTGTCTTGGTCCGGTTGAGCACCCCGGCTTTTTCGAGGCTTTTAAACTGGAAGGCAAAGCGCGGGGATGGGGTCAGGTTTGCCCTCCCCCCCCGGCCTCCCTGGTGCCGGGGTGGGGTAGGGCTGGCTGCCCGTCCCCAGGGCGCTCACCTTCTCCTCCTTGAGCCCCGGCGCCGGCGGCACGGGGCTGTGCCAGGCAAAGAGCCCGCTGTCCTGGCTGGAGCTGCTGCTGGCCCGGTCGTGGCGGCTGCCCGCCGGCACCTGGGGGGGGAGGGAGGGAGGGGGCGGGTGATGCCCGAGGTGCCCGTGCCGGATGGGTGCTGGGCTTCACACCCACTGCACCCCAGAGCCCCTGCCCTCCGCTTTTGCAGCCCTGTGAGGATGCTCATCCCCTGGCAGACACCCCTGTCCCCACCTTTGCCTCTATCCCCATCCCTGTCCCCATCCCCATCCCTGTCCTTATCCCCATCCCGTCCCCATCCCCGTACCGTGTCGGAGGCGAAGTGCTCGGGGCAGAACACGGCTCCCTCGGGGTGGCTGTGCCCGTACCAGCCCGGGGGTGAGCACAGCTCCTCGGGGCGCCTCGGGGACAAACAGAGAGCAGCCCCCTGATCGTAGGAGCCCACGGGCGAGTAGTCCTCCTCAGGATAAGCCTCCAGCTCATCTGGAGACAGGTCGGGATAGTCCGTTTCGGGAGTGGGTGGCTGGAGAGAAGAGCCAGGTTAAGACCTTGTGCCCCACCGAGAGCATCCGCGTCGCCGAGCTGTGGCCAGCCCAGATGGGGCTGCCCCATCTCCATCATCTCCATCTCCCTCCCCATCTCCATCTCTGCCTCCATCTCTGTTCCCACTTCACCCCTACCCCTGCCTCCATCTCCATCTCCATCTCCATCCCCATCCCTTCCTTCATCTCCATCTCCCTCTCTGCCTCCATCTCTATTCCCACTTCACCCCTACCCCTGCCTCCATCTCCATCTCCATCTCCATCTCCATCCCTTCCTTCATCTCCATCTCCCACTCCGTCTCCATCTACGTCTCCATCCCCTTCCCTATTTCCATCTTCATCTCCATCTCTGTCTCCATCTCCCTCTCCATCCCCATCCCCTTCTCCGTCTCTTTGTCTTCATCACGTCTTCACCTCCATCACCATCCTCATCATCCCCGCGCCTCGCTGGGTGCTCACCCTCTGCTCCATGGGACCGTACCGCGTCACCCCAGGGTACATATCCTGGGGGTTGCTTCCGTCTCCCGCGTGGGGGGGGTCCCACGACGTCTCACCTGTTACCGAATTATAGAAAAAAGCCTGTCCGCTGGCTTCGTCCACGTACTGTTCCCACTCGGGAAACTCCGTGCTGTGGGTGACTGAGGAGGCGGGAGAGGCGACGGGACTCACTCCATCTTCTGCCTGCCCAAAGGGACAATCCCACGTGGTCTCGCCCGTCACCGGGTTATAATAAAACAAATGTCCACTGTCCGTATCCGTGTGGGTTTCCCAATCCGAGACGGAGCCTCCGGGCTCCTCCGGGGCCGAGCTGGCAGCTGCGGCTTCTTCCCGCAGCTCCTGGATGTTGAGGTAGATGGGGGCAGGCGGCTCCTCCGGGTCCTTGCGCGCCTGGAGGGGACACGGGTGGGTCACTCGGGCGCTGTGGTTGGTGATGGGTGCCCCGAGCCATGGGGCAGGGCTGCCGGGGACGGCGTTCCCGGGATATCCCCGCCGTAGTGCCCGGGCTGGCAGATGGGTGAGGGGCTGAGGAGCCTGATCCAGCCCTGCCCCGGCTGCTGGGGCATCCCTCCTGCCCGGGCACCCGGCAGGCGCTGCCCTGAGACACCCATGGGACAGATGTAGCTGCCCGGGTGGTGTGGGAGGGCACTCAGAGCACCCACTTTGGGGCAGGGAGCACCCAGCCGGCAGTGGGGATGAGAGTCTGGCCTGAGCACGCAGGGAGAGTTTGGGGGGGGGGGGGAGGCTTGCGGTCCCCAGTGTCAGCACCCGCATCACTGGTCCCCTCGTCCCCCACTGCGCCTGCACCCCCGGGGCATCGGCATCAGCGCCCCAGCACTTGTATCCACACCGTTCTCTGCACCCACATCATCGGCACCCGAACCATGAACACCCCTCAGCATCTGCACCGACATCCGCAGCCCCAACACCACCGACATGCTCATCACCTGCACCCCCCAGCCCCTGCACCCGCCTCACTGGCATCAGCACCCTGGCACCCCCACCCACACCGCCTGCACCCACACATCAGCACCCTCAACACCAGCAGCCCGGGACATCTCCTACACCCACATCACCTGCACCCCCAGCCTCTGCCCTCACACAGCCAGCACCCAGACCACCAGCACCCCCACTGCCGGCACCCAGAGCACTGGAACCTGCACCCAGACCACCAGCACCCCCACTGCCGGCACCCAGAGCACTGGAACCTGCACCCAGACCACCAGCACCCCCACCGCCAGCACCCGCAGCCCCTGCCAGCCCCGCCGGTGGGCAGAGCCGGGTGCTGAGACTGGCAGCCCCATCACCACATCCTGAAATGAGGCCCTGAGCACCCCTGGCGGTGGCTGCCTGGCTGCCCCCGCTCCGGGGGGGCTGCTCGGGGTGGGGGGACACGTCCCCTGGGACCAGGCGGCCGCGGGCGGGTGGCTGCTGGCAGGGAATCCCCTCCTGGCACCCTTTGATCTCCCCAGCTTTACAGCCCCTGAGCCTCCCTACAACGGCCGCGGGGACAAAGTTTCCCAACCCTGGCCCTGCCCGTCACCCCAGGGTGAGGGGGGGGACAGGGGGTGGAGCGTCCCCGGGGACACCCTGGAGCAGAGGGGGACAGTGGAATGAGTGTCCCCAGAGACGCCCCATCACCCTCCCCCCCCCCCCATCACCCCATGACCCTCCTGCTGCTGCGAGCGGGGCCGGAAACCCAGCGCGAGAGGCCACCCTCATCTTGGGGACAAGGGACGTGGGGGTGACAAGGGGGGGACACCCAGCGCAGAGCCCCCTCAGCACCTCCCTCCCTCCCCTGGGTGCATCCCCAGGGTTTTTTTTTTTTTCCCCCCGGGGTTGGGCTGGGTGCCCCTCCCCACTTCAGGACGGGCATCTTGGCACCCACCGGTGCTTGGTGCCACCTCCGTGGCATAAACACCCAGGGGAAATTCGGGAAGGAGCTTGGAGGGGGGGGGGGGAGGGTGACCCCACAATGCCCCCCCCCCCCCCCCCAGCTGGGTGCACCCATGGGTGCTGCCTACCTTCCCCAAGTGCAGCAGCCGCGACACCCTGCTACGGGACCGCTGCAGAGCACCCGAGGCCTGGTCACCCATCTCGGTGGGCGCCCCGGGGTGGGGTGGGGTGTGGGGGGGTGTCAGCCGGTGGGGCAGCGCCAGGCTCCGGTGACACCGACGACACCCTGTGCCGGGCCCCGCGCCGGCCGCGCTTCCTGCCGGGGTTTCGGGGAGCGGAAGAGCCGCCTCCGAGCCCGGCGCTTGGCCTTGGGCCGGAATTGGCTTTTTTTTGGGGTTGTTGTCACCCCGTCTCCAGCCACTCGTCCCCCGTCACCTGCTCCGGCAAAGCCAAGGCCAACCGAGGATGGAATCGCACCGGGACGATGCCGTGCCGGGGATGCAGCCGGCGCCAACCGGGAAAACTCCCCCCCAAATGGAAGTTGGCCCACTCGGCATCGTGTTGCTCCACCGGCAACGGCACGGGGATGAGCCCGGGGGTGCTGCGGCCCCCCAACACCGCGATCGCCCCGACCCGGCAGCCGGGGTGGTAGCCACACGGTGGCCAGGCTGAGGCCGCCCCAGCCCCACCGTTGCTGCCGCTGGCTGGTTTTGGTGACGGTTGGGTTTAGGCAGGGGAAGGGGAAGCTCCGGTGATGGCACCGGGGTTGGGGACGACAGCTGGGTCCCTCCCGGGGGTGGTGGGGGGGATCGGTGGCTTTGGGTGTGCAAAGAGCACTGGGGGTTAATCTGGCACAGCTGGGGTCGCAGGGTGTAAAAAGGGGTGTAAAACACAGCCCCCCGCCGCCCCCCGACGACTGACACCCCCTTTCCTCCAGCACAACACTCTCCTGGGCAGCTCAACCCCATGAGCCCCCCTCAAAGCGGGGGACACCAGGTCTTGGGGTGCTGTGGGTGCCTGGGGTTACTCCAAAGACAGGTGCTGGCGGGGGGGACAAGGACGCAGGACCCCCCCCCCCTGCCACTGCCATCTCACCCTGCTGCACCCCAGCCCGTGTCAGAGGCAGGCGAGTGGCCGAGGGGCACCCCCCACCCTTGGGTGCCCCCCACCAAGAGGGGTGCGGCAGGGACCCCTGGGGGGGGCTGGGAAGGGCCCCTCACTACTTACTGGCATGGGGAGAGCGTGGATTTTGGGGTGGCGGGGTGCCCGCCTTAGCTGGGGTGCACCCAGCACCCACCTCCGGCACTGGGTGCTGCGCCCAGGTGAGACACCCGCCCCGGCAGGGAGGAGTTGCTGCACTTCCCTGTTAACCCTTTTCTGCCTCCTCTCGTCCCGGGAACGCTGCCGGGATGGGGTGTGGGACACCCCAGAGACCCCTGGGTGGCACCGAGGAGCACCCCCCCCTCCAGGGACCACGGGCATCACCGGGCTCAGCACCCTGTCGGGACGCTGCTGTGGGGGCAGAGCGGGGGGGGCTGGAAGAGCCCAGGGATACCTATGAGGGTGGGGAAACTGAGGCACGGTGCAGGGGGGCTGAGGGTGGAAGATGTTTGGGGTGGGTGCCCAATGCGGGGGTTGCTCACCCTCCCCAGGCGGTAATTGCTGGTGAACCTGTATGGGGGGGGTTGACCCACAGGTTTGTCCGGCGGGGTCAGCTCAGTGGGGGGACGCGGCGGGTCCCAGTGGTGCTGGGGAGCCCCTGGGTGTTACCCCACCCTGTGCCGGGGGTTACAGGGCCATACTGGGGGGGACACGGGGCATTGAATCAGCCAGGGGACCCGGGTGCCCCTGCCCGCCACGCTCAGCTCCCCCCTGGCGCTGATTTTGGGGACAGCACTGGGGATGTCACCGTACCTGAGCCGCATGGCCGGAGCCCAGCCGCCTCCTGGCCGTGTCCCTGCCCTTGCCAGGGGCGTGGAGGGTCTCGGAGCGGCTCTTGACGAGTGGGTGAGTCTGTCCCTGGGGGTCCCCACGCGACCCCACGGCGGTGGCACCGCGTGGTGCCGGCGACACCCGTGCCAGGTCATCCAGGGAGCGCGAGGGTCCCACGGGCTCACCGGGGTTGGGGCTCAGCCCTGGGGCGACCCGAAAAGAGCTGAGCGCCGGCAGCGAGTCCCTCCCGGGCACCGAGCATCCTCCGGCCGGCTCCTCCGTCTCGGCGGCGCCGATGAACCGATACTCGTAGGCTGGCGGCTGCTGCGGGGCGAGCGTGGCTGGATCCGTCCCGGCGTGCCCCGGCGGAGGGGGGTCGAGCGGGGCCAGGGCAGTGATGGGGGGCAGCTCCTTCACGTACTGGGCAGGGATGTAAAAGGGTCGGGTGTCCCCGCTCCTCTTGACGTGCCACCAGTGGTGGTTGGTTCGTTTCAGCAGGACGTAGCGCTCGTTAGGTTTGATGGAGACCAAGGTCCCGTCCTTGGCTCGGTACTCAAAGCCGTACTCCACCAGCACCAACGCTTCCTCCGCCGGCACCGCTGCCTCCATGGCCGCCCCGGCACCTCCACCTGTGGGAGATGGGGCAGGGAAGGGGCTGATGGCAGCTCCCAACCCCTCTTGGGGTGCATGGGGACCCCAGGAGAGACGAGTTGGTGGGTCCTCACTGAGCCCCAAGCCCATGTGGATGTTCCCCAAACCCGCCTAAAGCAGCCCCGGGGTCACCACCACTATCCTCGCCCACCGTCCCCAAGCCCCCAAAGCCAGCGAGCTCCAAGTCTCTGAGCCCCCAAAGCCACCGAGCCCCCAAATCTCACCTCCAGCCAGTGTCGGGGTGCAGACAGGGGCGGCGGGGCGCGCGGCAGTGGGTCCCGCTCGTGCCTGCGCTGGGCTGGTCCCGACTCGCCCCGGTTTCCTGCCAGCGTCTCGCCGAAGACGGGGCCGGGCTCCACGCCGGCACTGGGTGCCCGGCCCCCGGCCGGGGGAGAGGGGAGGTGGGGAGCCGGCCCGTTTCCTCCCCTCGGGGCGGGAGGGAAGGGGCGATGGTGGAGGGGACCTGGTCGAGGAAACGGCTCCTCGGGAGGTTCCTGCTGCAGGAAGGGCCCTGCCCCGCGGCTGAGCCGGGATCTGCGCCGCTGCCGGATCCGGCACAGCCTCCCCGGGCAGGGGGATGGGACCCCGATTAGGGGGGGTCCCATGGGAGCTGCCTTGCCCTGGTTTATTGTCCCCCCCACACTCAGGGTGGCCCGCTGGGGTCCCTGTGCTGGTGGGTGCACCCCAAACCCTGCCAGCACCGGGAGCAGCGTGGCAGGGAAAAAACAATGGGAGACGCCAACACTGGTGGGGAGCAGATGGGGAGGAAAAAGGGCAGGGAAAATGGGGAAGGGTCCCCCAACCGCGCTGCAAGACCCCAGAGGACAGGCTGGGAAGACGGAGGACGGGCACCATCCCTGTCCCCAACGCTCCTCCCTTGGACCTGCGATTTGGCACCCGGTGCAAAGAAGCAAACCCTGAAGACAGCTTCGCTTGTCGTTAAATAAACTTTATTTTTGCATGGGGAAGGGTGAAAGGAAAATAAAATTTCTTCCAAGGACTAAAAGCAGCAGGCGGGGAGGAGCAGCCCGGCTCTTCTCTCCCCGCTCTTCCCAGAGGCCACGGTGATGGGTGGGCTCTCTGAGCGGGAGATGCTCGGCCGGCCCCCGCGGGCCCCCCGGGGTGCGCAGGTCCCTAAAGGCACAAGTGTCCCCTCACCCCCTCCCCACGCGGCTGCTGTCACCTCCCCGGAGCAGGCCAGATTGTGCAAAACCCCCACGTAAAAAAATACTGTTTTTTCAGTATCGAACATCCTAAAAAACTAGAGCTTTAATCAATGTCAGTTATCCACACCCTTAATTGGAAATCCTGATTTACACCCTGGAAAGCCACTGGGTTTCCATGGGGAGGGGATGTACCAGGTTGGCACCAGGAGGGTGACTGGGAGCATCCCCGGGTTAGTGGGAATGGGGGGACGGACCTTTCCAGCCCCCCTTGCTCAGCCCTGGGTGGGCAGAGGGTCCCTCCGTGGGGCAGGAGCACCCGTGCCACATCACCGAGCACCGCCAGCTCCCCGTCCCCGGGGAAGGGCTGGGCGCAGGATCAGCTCCCGGGCGGGATGGGGGGGTGTCTCTTCCCTGTCCCCCCGCCCCCCCGCTGGCCCCTTCCCCTCGGCGCTGGTCCGGCGGGATGAGAAGCCAAGGGCAGTGTCAAGGTCAGTCCCCGGCTGCTAAAGGCTTGGCTCCCCGCTGGCCTCCACCTCCAGCTTTCGCTGGTACCTCCGCCGGCGCTCGCAGCGGGGGCACGACTTGGCGCCGGCTTGGCAGTCCCGGTGGAAGACGGTTTTGCATTCGCTGCACCTGGGAGAAACCAAAGGGGAAAAAAACCAAAAGAACAAAACAAAAAAAAAAAAAAAACAACAAAACAAACAAACAAACAAACAACAAAACAAAACAACCTGTTGGTTACATCAGAACAAAGACTGAACTTCTCTCGCCACCAAACCAGATTTAGGGACACTTCCTTGGTCTCTGTCTCCTCCAAGCACTTGCTGAGCAAAGAGCCCTGCCCGCTGCGAGAGCCACCTCTAGCTCAAGGCGAACCTTGCTAGCAGGGGCAGCAACTACTCGAGCAAAAGACCCACCTCGAGCAAGCTCAGAGCAAAAGCGGCAGCTCACCCGGAAACAGCACTGCGGGCGGCTGCCAGCGCGCTGCCGCCTTTCCGCAGATGAAAGAGGGAGATGCTGAGTGAGGTTTGCACCTTGCTTTGGGAGCGGTGGCAGCGCGAGAGCAAAGTCTCAAGGCTGAGACACCAACCAAACCCCGTGGCGGGCGCAGGGTGACGGGAGCCCGGCTGGGGGACGCACGGACCCTCTCTGCTTGCGGGGGCTGGGGCGCAGCCAGGAGCCCCCCCAGCCCTGACCGCGGGGGCCCGCACGTGGCAGGGCCGCGGCGTGGGGCCACGGGAGCCGCGGGGAAGGGGACAAGCAGCTGGGGATGGCGTTGCCTCTGAGCCCGCTGGCTCCGGGGAGGTCTTGCCAGCGCCCGCCCAGGACCTCCCTGCTCTGGCTCAGCGCCGCAGCAGGAATGTAAACAGCCAGAGACGATACGGGGTGCGGGGCGGAGGGAGGAGACACCCCGATCTGCCACGGGCGTTCACTGCTGCTCCCGGCTCAACAGAAGAAAACCCCGTGCTGCGAAGGCTGAACTCAATTCTCCCTGGTCGCAATCCCCCGCCTCGCCGGTAGCAGCAAAATGCAGCCCATCCACATGCCAAGCGGGTCAGCTAGATTATTTTTCAAATTGCCCTCAAGCGCAAATACCTGGTGCACGACTGATGTGTGAATACCACCGAACGCCTTAATCCCCCGAAGGGCGAGTGGAGAGGGGAGGGGAGAAAGGCCAAGCAAGGCCCCATCACGTATCGCAGCCTGGGTCAAATCCTGCTCCTGACAGGCGGCTGCAACCCCCCCAGTGACTCAGGATACGGAAAAGGCTCGTGCGCAGACAGGCGGGACGGGGGGTGCTGCCTGGCACCGTGCATTTTCCCAGCAGAATATATTTTCACGTGGTTTCTCTGGTTTAGCAGAGGTGGTGGCTCGCTCTCCCGAGCGCGGGGGGGGGGGATTTGCAAAGCCAGGGGCTGGTTCTCACCCTGCGTGGTTTCTGAGCGAGCAGCGGCCGAAAAGCGGCACCTCCTGCCTCCACCTGCCAGAGCAAGGGCTGCAGGAAGGGGCCACCGCTGCTGGGAGGAGGAGAAGGGCCGGCGCCCGGCGGGGTGCATGGTTAGGTTATTGTCAGGAGGTGTTTCAGACGCATCCTGCAGCCAGTGACGGCGTGCCCCCGGCAGCAGGCTGTCCCGCGGGGCGGGCAGAGGGGCAGGAAGCCGGGTTTAGCTTGGCGAGGATGTTGGTTGAGCTGCTTTCCTGCTGCACAACCTCCTCCGCCAGGAAAAAAAAAAAACAAAACAAAACAAAAAAAAACCCCCAACAAACCAAACTTCAGAGCCCGGCTTTACAGGACATGAGACCTCCAGCTGGCTGCCAGCAGAGCTCAGCCCCACAGGCCTGCTCTTTCCAGAGCCCGTGTGCTCTTTTTCGAGGGAAAATCAGTCCCTTGGGGATGTCCTTGATAACAAGCACAATGCTGTCCCTGCGGCAAGGAGGGAGAGCGAGCAACCCTCCTCAGCTGCCCTGGGAATATTTGCAACCACGTAAACAGGGTACCCAAGGATCGTGGTCTTGTTGGCATTTTGTTGCAGCTTCTGGATGTTGCTGCTCGCTTTTAGAGACTGCCAGGCAAAGCCAGACCACGCAGACCAGCAGCCTGTTCAACCTCCCTGCCAGGATGATATTCGTTACCAAAAAACCATCGAGATGTGGATCTCTCTCCACCTCTGCTGGACCAGGCTCCTGGGCTGGAAGGGTGTGATGCTGATTTCTTTAGAAAACCCTGATGGTGGGGATAAGCGCCCCCCCCCCCCCCCTTCTAACACACCCCTCCGCTGTCAGAGGCTGCTCAGCTGCTGAACCCCTCCAGCAGTTGACCCCACTGCAGGCAAGGGCCCTGCCTGCAAACGACAGAGCTCCACAGGCAGGAGCAAAAAACAGATGAAATCCAGTGTCTCCTGTCCTGCTGGGAACATCCCCGGCTTCTCCTCTGCAGGTCCCCAGGGCCGCCCACCGCTTATCTCCAAATCTGCGTCCGTTTGTCCTTCCTCCCCTCCTTGGTTGTAGAAGGGTGTATGAACAGTCCCGCTGCTGCTTTTCCTTCCTTCCTGCAACCCCTGGAAGGGGCCAGACTGAATCTGACTGTGAGATGTGGTGGCCAGCTGAGTGTGGCAGGGGCACGCAGCACCTTCATCCTCCTCCTCCTCCTCCTCCTCCTCCTCCTCCTGGCCTCCTCTGCTGCCCTGGGACCCAGCACCCAGCGAGGCTTTTGCAGGCACGTTCAATCTGCAAAGCCACCTCGCTTGGTGACACCTCAGCTCTGTGAGGATGGTCCTTCTGCCCCAAACAGCCCAGCTTTGGTACGGATCATCTTAGGGCCGAAGGGTGCCACGAGGACACGGGTGCCACGAGGATGCGCACCCAGCTCAGAGCTATTTCCAGGCCACCCCAGGGTTACCTGCCTAGAAAGCGGGCAGCCCCCGAGAGGGACCCAGGGGACAGTCCAGGCTCCTGGGAAAAGCCAGGCCGTGAGCTCAGGTGGCCTCGCAGCAGCGGCCCGTGACGGAGACGCCTCTCACCTGGTGGTAGTGTCAAACTCGAAGGGAAAAATGATGTCACTGCTGTTGCAGATCTGGCAGATGAAGCCGCGCTGGGTGCACAGGTCGCAGTTGTAGACGTGATGGGAGGCAAACTGGAGCAGAGACTGCAGGAAGGTCTCGAAGACGCCGTCAGCTATCTGCAGGGCAGAGAGAGGTCAGGCAGGCGCAGGGCCCAGGCTCCCATCGGGTTTGCACTGTGCAAAATCCTCATTACACCCGTTCTTTGAGCCGCTACGTGAAGTCAAGGCTGCCCTCCCAAAACAATCCAAAGCACACGCGCCTGGGTCGCAATAGCACCCCAGAGAGCAGACAGCAGCACCCACCGTCTGCCAGGACGGGGCTCCTGGCTTCGGAGTTGATGCAAAATCCACCAACCCATCCCCTCCAACATTATTTGCAATAGATACAAGTTTGTACGGAGACACATCAGCAGCAATGCCGGCTAAAATAGAGGTGAAACAACTCATCTGGTGTGATCCCTGTAGTTCTCGGAGGATACAGACTTGTGTCAATTATTTTGTCAAATTAAAGACAAGACAATTATTTGCCTTTAAGCTGATGTGCAAGCTTGCAGAGTGCATGTGATGGATGAGAGCAAGATAAAAGGAAGACAAAGCGGTTTGAAACCTTCTACAAGTGAAGTGCCATGCTCAGTAGAAACCGGGATGTTTTCATCAGCAAAACCCCTGTGACCACACAAAGCTCTCACCTGCCTCAGATCAGCGACACTGTATTTGTGGGGACACTCCAAGAGGTAGTGCCTGTGATCAAGCCTGCAAAGAAGCACAGAGAGGAAGATGGTAGATGATTTCCACCGTATCTCCAGTGGCTCTGGAGCAAGGGGGAGCCTGGATGATGCAGACTCTTGAAGAAAACCACTGTAAACTTGGATTTTGCATTGTGCCACACGTCCCAACTCCTGCCAGTGGAAATCATGTGAGAGCATTTCAAAGGGGGGAAAAAGAAAATAAATATCTCCTCTGTTTTCCCAGGTGTTTCCTGTCCAGCCAGAAGCTCCTCTATCAGGAAAGCGTTTCCTGAGTCACATCTCAACCAGCCAACAGATGGGAGAAGTCCTCACGGCAGACATGGAGCTGAAAACCAGCCCATGCCTTGGCAGCATCGCTCCCCGCTCCAACGGCGAGCGATGAGGAGGACCAGGGGAGCACTGGGGTGCAAAGAGGGGGACGCAGGGGCAGCATGGCCCAGGGAGGGACCTCACCGCTTGCTCAGCTCCTTCAGGGCCCCGCTGCGGCACATGATGAGATAATCTCCCAGCAGCTTCAGCTGTTCCCTGCTCCGGTGGATCCGTCCCATCCGCTCCACGTGGTCGTAGAGGCTCTCGTTGACCAGCTTCAGGTCGATCAGCGGCTGGTTACGGATCTGGGTGAGGAACTTCAAAGCCTGCCGGCACACCTGGGGCAGAGAGAGGCCAGAGGTGGGCATGCACCAGAGAGCAGCCCGGGAGGCTCGGCGGGAGGTGTGGGGTGGACGTCTCCACCTCTGCTGCTGGTGGAAATGTTCAGATGGACCTTCAGGAAGGGTAGGCAGACGCGGGAGCATTTCCCTGCCCCCTGCGCTGACTGAGCCCAGACTCACCCCTCGTTTTGTCAGATCCCAGTTGTGGATGAGGCGCGAGGGAATCACCGTCTCCTCGTCCCGGTGGCAGCTGTCGCAGTAGTACAGACCGGAGAAGGCGCAGAGCTTGGGCTTGGCAAAGGAGAAGCCGATCTGCCTGGAGCAGCCTGCAGGAAGGAGGCGATGAGAGGGGACCCGCGTTGCCCCAACAGCCTGTTCCCATCACTGCCAGGGAGGGGGAAGAAACTTTTGGGCAGGGGAATGGGGAAAGAAAGTCTTTGGAAGGGCTGGAGATCAGTTAAAGTGCTTGTGGGATGTTCCGTGAGAGGGCCCCAGCCCCTCCCTGCAGGCAAGGAGCCGTGATTTAAGACCACGACGGCCCAGAGGAGTCTGGACTATGCCTGAACCCACTTTAATCCGTCAAGTGGTTCAATTGTTTCAGTTTTCTTGTAGGAAAAGTGAATTCTGGAAACACCCCAGTGGTTTAGGGAAGAACCTAAATCCCACCTGCCTGCCCCGTCACCTCCACCAGTAACTTTGCCCCATTTTGTCTTCACTCAGCCCTTCTCTTTCCTGCTGCTGCTACAGGGTACCAAAACCACGTCTGCAAAGGATCCTCATCTGCAAGGGATGAGGTTGGGATGGATTAAGCCAAAAAAAAGCCTTTGTTATAGTGGTGGGTAACCCAGGAAGAACCCAGCTTGTGTCTTGGGGGAAATCTGCAGGGTTTTTATAGCGACTTGAAAAATGAGGGCATCTCATTTGGGGTCAGGAGGGCAGGAAAACCCTTCATGCTATTTTTAATGGGGTCTGTTCTCTAAAATAACTGATCACGTGAAAGTGAACCTCTGCCATGCTCAGGGAATGCTGGACCACCCCCACCCCTCACGCTTTGGGGTCGCTGGAGCACATCCCATAAAAACCAATTCATGGAGGTCAGGTGTTGCTCTTCGAACTGATAAAAAAGAGAAGCTTTTATCGCTTGTTACACCCTGACATGTAAAGAAACCACTCCTGTGTCAGGCTCTGGTGTCGGGCTGGGAGGGAGGTGAGAGGGGCAGGCAGCCTCCTAAGAAAACCTACACATAAAAACTGGGAATTTGTCTTTTCGGCTTGTTGCTTCCATCTGTTGGTAGGTGGAAGATGCAGGACAGAGCCTGGAAGGTAGAGACCAAATAGAATGGAAAATATATATATATATAAAGAAGAGAGATTAAAATTAAAAAAAAAAAAACAACCAACCTGCTGGAGGGTACAAGAAATACAATTTAAGCAGGAGAGAAATCTGAAGTTTAATTAACTTACCAAGGTAAAGAGAAAATTATACCTCCTGTGGAGGTCAGCAAGTGTTATCCTATTAAACCAGCATCGCCCCGCGTGCCGAGAGGCATTAGTGAAAGGTTAAATGAATGTTTTGCAAAATCAGCTTGTCACACCCATTGCAATGTTCACTCCTGTGCTGCGTTACCGGAAAAACAGCATTTGCTTTTGATTGTACTTTCCCTGCAGGTTGAGGTCACAAAATGCCCGGGAAGAAAGTCCTGGGACTCTCGGTCCATCTAATATTGCCTTCAAGCCAAGACCCACCACTGTCTATGCTGTAAGCATCTTAAACAGGGGCCAGCAGCAGCCCCGTTGGACCCGCGCTGGGCTGGGCTGGGGATTCAGCGTGGCGGGACTCACCCTGTGCACAGAGACCACCAAAGGTGCCACCCACTGGGGACATGAAGCCCCACTGAGGGGCTTTGGTGCTACCGGGGGTTTGGATGGGGAAACCAGCAGCTGCCCTCCAATGGGTTGGCGTGACTCAGGGCGTCTCTAATTTGATGTCACCTCGTTAACCTGAATGAGCGCAACATCATCCTCCAAGACGGTTCTGGGTTTTTGGACGAGCCAATGTATACCTGCACAGATGAAGCTCTGTGAGTCCAGGCCCTTCTCCATGGGGATGGCCACCAGGTATTGCAACAAGAAGCCGTTTTCCTTCACGATGTTCTTCAGGATGACCTGGGAGTGCCCGTCCAAGCCGCCCCCCAGTGTCAGCGCCTCCTCCGCGCTCTCCAGGTAGGACGTGAGCACCCCTCGGACCAGCTCCCTCCACGAGGCCGCTTCTTCCGCGTTCTCCGCCTGCAGCTTCAGGACAGCTTTGGAGGTGATCACCTTGAAGAACGCAGGTCCCCCAAGGCTTGTGTCTGGAAGGATGTCCTGGATGGTCTCTATACCGTAACTGTTGCTTAAAATTTTGTCATTGCTCCTGACCTTGAAGCACTTTAAAGTTTCTAGAGACAGGGAAAAAATAAAAGGGACCCAGGTTTTGTCTACGTCCACATACAGAACAGCCTCTTTTATTGCATCGAGCTCCGGTTCATAAGCTGGAGTCCAGTCGAAGCTGTTCCCAGGCACGTCGCTGTACTGGAGAAGAGCAGCGGAGTCGCTCTGGTTGGGCTGGCCTTCGCCACCGTCTTCTGGATACTCCAGCGTCTCCCACTCCTCCTCCTCCAGCTGAGGCCGGCACTTCTGCAGCGCCTCGCGGATCCTGTCCAACCAGTCCTCGGCCTCATCTCGAGAAGGAGCTCGTAGGTAGAGTTTTTTCCCCAGGAAAACCAGCTCGAAACGGCCGTCTGAGTGCGTCAGTGCCAGCGACTCGCACCGCAGCAGGGAATAGCTCTCCACGCAGATGCGGTCCTCGTGGTCCAGGAAGAGCCGGAGCTCCAGCGGCGACAGCTCGCAGGAAAACTCCTTCCATATCCCCATGGCTCCTCTCCGCTCCAGGCTGCCCAGCTTCAGGAGCCCTCGGAAAGGGTTGGAAAGACCTGGGGAAAAAGCAGATGTCTCAGTTTAACCAAAAAAAAAGGGGGACGCCAAGGGGCTGCTCGCAGTGAGCAACCCGAGGCACCACAGCTTGGAGAGCCAGTCCTGGCGGGTGGTGGGATGGGGCAGGAGTTTACAGGACCTTGGTCTCCATCATCTGTCTGCCTGCATTTGGGTTCTGAGGATGAGTGGGATGGCATAAAGGAAAATGTCCCTCGGGGGGACAGAGACATGGGGACAGAGGCACGCAGAGCACCTCCTCTCCTCCTGAAAAGCTTCCCACCAGAGCCACGGTGGGCTCAGCAACGCCACGGGGAGCTTCTGGAGCTTTTAGTGCTGCTTTTAGTGCTGCCAGCAGCTCAGCAGCGGCAAACGGCTGCTTCCCAAACAGCCCAGCACCCGAAACACACCCCAGCCCCTGAGCACTGCCCAGTGTAGGCCCCTGACAAAAGCAGGAGCGGGGAGGGCGGCGCGTACCCATCTGCCTGCGATGCACAACGCTGAAGCCCTTTTGTTCCCGTTCGGGTGACATTTTGGGCTTCCCGCTCTCCGAGGACGGCACTGACAGCCTTTCCAAGTCAAGAGCACTGATGAGCCCTGGGGCCAGCCCCTCGCCAGCCCCCTCCGGCCCAAAGCCATTGGTGTCGGCTGTGCTTTCGTCGCTGCCTCCCGGAGAAGGTCTGTAGAAATCATCTTCTGAGATCCAGCTCTTTCTTTTCTGATCAAAAAAAAAAAAAAAAGAAAATTATCAAAATCTTTGAGAACTCCGGTGCCCTTCAAACACGCCCGCCCGCAGTGACCCCCTCCACTGGGGGCTGCTCCCACGCAGACCGAATCCCACGCTGGCCATTCCCCCACAGACGGCTCCCCTGCTCCCTCCCATCAGGGAATGTTCCATGGGACTGGGTCAGCAGCTGATAAATGCTGGGATTATATACTGGTGGGATTATAAAGACCAAAACTGATGGGTTCTCTCCCCCTAAAATCATCGTGGGGCTCAGAGGGAGAGCACAGTCCCTGCTCTTGCCACATACAAGATATTTGGTCCAGGAAGAATTTCTGATAGAGGGTGATAAACCAGCCCTGCCGTGGAAGGGTACGAGGTCACCTGGAGCAGTGGTACCATCCTTGTTCCAGGAAGAACAGAGATGGGGCGAGGTACAGAGAAGATGTCTAGGATGAAATAGAGATCTACGGCTTACAAGCAGATGCTACAAACACCAGGCCTGATCGGTACAGGGAAAAAGCAAGGCAGAGAAGGCAGACAGAGGAAACCTCTGTTTCCATACATCAGGAGTGGATGAGACCCACAAGCAGAAGAAAACTTGTTAAGCTAAAAGAAAACATGGCTGTTAACTTCTCTGGGAGTTTTTCTGGCTAAAAAGAACAGTGTGAGGTTCTGGGACAAGGTCTCCAAACAAACACGAGGAGCAAAACATGACCCAGCTCAGTGCCCTGGCAAAACGGAGCAGCTTCCTGAGACTCAGAGCATCCCTGCCAGGACCGCATCCCACCAGGATGACCTCTCAACTACCCCACCCTGCTTTCCAAGAGCCTTTTATTCGGAATAACAAATTAAATGACAGCAGAAGAGCTGTCACCATCCTGCAGCGAAGATCACGGGTGGCTTGCGGTGCAGCTCCCAACGCACAGGCAGGCTTGGCTTACTCTGGGACCAGGAATGCAGGTTGCTGTGTGAGTCATGCGAAAGCAGGGGGGAATTTCCTGTTGACACCGTATGTTATACATAGATTAGGTCAAACTGGCCCAACACCATGAGGAAGCAGCGGAAATGGGATAACTGGGAGGGAGCCAAAAGGAGCAGAGACCAAAAAGAGAAAACGTTTGGAGTGGGGTATGAAGCATATCCTAACCTCACCAGGATGGAAATGATGGGAACCAGGATGGAAACAATGGGAACCAGGATGGAAAAGTCAGTAACAAATTAGACAGAGGACAGGGCTGTTCAAAGAGTTTCCTAAAAGCAAAAGCATGTGGATCAACTCCTTGGCGGCAGCAGGGGAAATCCGCCGCTGCTCAAGCTAGCCTAAGCACCAGGGAATGCCATCCTGCTCTGAGAACAGATGTGCTGCGAGAATATTTTTCCACTGGAAAACTGTAATTTGTTTCTCATCCAGCCAACTCTTTTCCCTCCTCTTGCGTGGACCACAGACAAAGAAAAGTCCCCAAGAGAAACTCGACTCTCAGGCTGTTTTATCAGCTTGCACACAGCCTATGGCCTGATTTGCGTGAGAGCTCATCACTCTCCAGGTATTAACAAAACCAAAAAATTCCTGTGGCAGCCGCTCTTGGCGAGGGGTGACTGGCAGAAAGGCTGGGTTTCAAAAGCTTTAGCGCCTATTTTACGAGGGAATATCGACTTTGACCCAGTTTCTCCCAGGGCGGCTGCACGGACACAGCTCCCCGGGGTCCAGGGAAGTGCTCGTGGAGTGGGGAGCGTCACTTACAACCAACTTGCTGCCAGGAGAGTGGAAGCAGAACGGAAGACAGTTGGAGAAACCGGTGCCTACTCAGAAGCGGTCACCAGTTTTATTTTCATTTTCCATCCGATCTGCTGGACAGGAAGAATAAAACCAAGGAGATCGACAGGAAGGGAGCTACCGGCCACCCGTGACACCTACCGGGCAACCCAGCAGCGGAGAAAGGAGGTATTCTGCCGTGGGGCTGGGGGCTGCCTGGCTCGCCTCGCGGCCGCCCACCGTGTCGCTTCTGCCCGTCTCTCCTCTGCTCGGACCGCCACACCGCGCGGCCGACACGCCGGCCGTGCCGCCGGCCCGCGGCGCTGCACCTCCGTCCCCATCGCCGGCCGTCACCGCGGCGCTGGGCCCAGCAGAGCCCGGCCTGTCCGTGTCAGGGGGGGGCTGGTGCCGAGCTCCGTGGGACGGGGCCGGGGGGCAGGCGGGCTGCCGGGGGGAGCAGCCCAGCGCGCTGGGGACCAGCCGTCCCTCCGGGGCTTCTAGGCTTGGCTTGGCTTTGCTGAACTCGGATAACACCCTTGAAACAGAAAAGTGACCAGTTTGAAGGCAGCTACGTTAACCAGAACCTATAAACACCCCGGTAATTGCAAATTATAGCCACCCCAAAAAAGTGCTCAGCATCACTGCTCGTCTCCTGCGCGCTGGCAGCACGGTACAGCTGCAAAAAACCCCACGGCACCGATCGTGCTAACAGAAAAATGTGTGATTTGTGCCCAACGGAGCAGCAGTCAACCCCACGGAGGGCAAGGACCCTGCCTGCAAAGGATGAATATCTGAACTACGCACGTGAATGGGGTTTAATTTCCTTCTGATGGACATCTCCCAGTGGAAGGGGAGCACCGGGTGCTCCCCACGGCCCCAGCCCCACGCACAGCTCCCAGACACGTAACGAGCCATGGACAGCGTGCCAAACTTCAAACGTTTGCATAACCATTAATGAGCAATTCTTAGTGGAGCCCGGCCAGGCAAGACACTGTTCCCATGCCCCTGCTCTGCCAACAGCTAGGTTGAATTAAACCAGCCCAAGATTAAAATTCGAAACGACATCTTTTCATCACGAGTTTAATCCAATCATGGCAGGTTCTTCCAGGATCATCGTAAGATGCAAAATCTTAGAAGTAGGTAACGATGCCGTTATCAATGGGGAAGAACAGACTGCAGCACTAAACCCTCTTGAAGACCCTTACTGGGAAGAAGGTGGCTTTGCCAACCAGCACCCTGAAGCCAGGCTCCTTCTGAGCCAGGTTTTAAAAGTGGCAGGGAAAATATTTACTGCTTACTCAGACCTTATATAACCTGCTGGAAATCTTTGTGCTGGGTGTTTGGCAGAAATAAATCATGAGGATGACAAACTAACAACCTCCCTCCTCTAAATCATCTGTCAAAGCTGCAAATTATAACCCTTTCCTGTGAGCAAACTCATTTCTTTCCCCCCGCAGAAAGCCCCGGAGCATCCCCCAGCGCATGCCAGGGAGATGTGACACTCCTGAAACCAGGGAGCAGCATTTTTCTGACGTTTCTGCCTCGGTAAAGAGGACAGACACATACTTTAGTGGCCAGAAGCTCATTTGCCATGGCAGCAGGGTCCCAGCAAGCCATGCTGAGCATTTTTTTTTTACCCTTCAGGCTCTTCCCAGGAGCTAAAAAATAGATTGTTAAGGAGAAACATAGGAGAAAGCCTTCCTGCCTATAGAGAGAAAATAAATGACAGCCTGGGAGAGGGTTAAAAATCCATCTGAAGAGGAGGTCTGTGAAAAGACTCACTCTTGCAGCGACCTGTCCAGGTCCTCGGCGGTGGCCGTCCCCAGGTCGGAGTCGCAGGAGAGCGGCTCCTCGCTCCGCTCGGGACTGCGGGCGCAGGGAGCGGGGATGCTGTCGGAGCCCAGGCTGGAGGAGAGCTGGGACGAGCTCGTGGTGTTAAGGCTCAACGAGGACGACGTGAGCTTGATTTTGCTGCTGGCTTTGCTGATGGGGAGGACAGAGGGTTGAATCTCGATCTCGTCTGACCCTGATGATTGGGAGATTGAGCCCAGCGATGCTTTTCTGTGGGGTTCTGATGTTGAGGATGTGAGGGGCTCCAGCAGCTCCGAAACAGGACACAGACCGGACAGGGACAGAGGGGTGACAGTCCACTCATTCAAAACCGCCGATTTATAGGACAGCTCGAAGGTTAAGGACGATAAGCCCTGCAAGTAGCTAAGGAGAAACTCACACTCTTCGGCATCCAAGAGCAGAGCGGTTGCCTGGTAGTATTCGGGCAGCCGGGACCTCTCCCGCAGCAGCAGCTTCAGGTAACACTCCACGAGGCCATCGTTCAAAGCCAGCCTCAGCCAGGCTCGGCAGCGGCCAACGTCCGTGTTGATAAAGATGAGTTGTTCCAGCTCCGAGACAATATTTCTGGGGAAAGGGAGAGAAAGAGCAGAAAAGGCCCTGAATGGCTCTGTTTTCGGTCCATCACAGGGTGCAGATCCTTCAACAGGAACTGCCCAATGTGCTCTGCGGAGTTTAGGAGTTGGGACAAAAAAAGGCTGTGGAAAAGCTTTCCTTCATGGAAAACATGGTTCCCCGTGGAGAAAAAAAAGAGTTCCTAAATGCCCCAAAGCTAAATATTTTGGTAACAACCCCGTGTATCCCTCGGGTGCCTCTGGGTGCTCCTCCTCTCTCTGGCTGAGGGCACCTACCACACATCACTCACCCTGGACCAAGGATGCAGAAGGGGAAATTCCTGCTGTCCCTGCACACTGGTGAGGCTTGCTCTGGCTGGATATTCCTCGGTGACAACCGTGTGTCTAAATCCTAGCTTCAAATTTCAAATTAGCCAAAACATGGCAAAAATTGCTGCAGCAGCCCAAAAAATCACCAGGTCAAGTTGAGTTTCTCAAACACTCTCAGCCTCCTGACTTCAGTCATTCTCCCCCAGAATCCAACAGCGACACCACCCTCCCCAATCCTCCCTGGCCCCAGTTTACGTCGGCACTGCAGATGCTACAAAAAACAGGGCAAAAGTTTTGTAAGTTTTTTTTAAACGTGTCTCTCAAGAAAAAAGGAAAAACCTTCAAAGGGCACAAAAATATCCCCCATAGCATGCGAAAGTGTTATTTTCATCTGCTCGTTCATAATTTAAGAGTTGGTGATGGAGTTAGATGAGGCCTTCAAAACTATTTGCGCGTGGGCTGTTATTTAGTGTGGGAGGACTCTGCTCAGGGAGTGGCTCAGAAAAACCCCAGCAAATAACGATAGTTACCCAGGTGAAACCTCCTCAAAGGCTGGTTGGGACATGGGGAAATGGAGACCAAGGGTTCCCAGCAGGTCCAGGTTAGAAGAGAGACCAGACCCCTGTGCTGTGCATCCCATAACCCGCCACTCCTGTATCCCGGTGCGGTCACCAGAGTCCCACTGGGGACATGGAGTCCCCATGTACAGCCCCGGCACCCAAAAATAAATAAGAAAGGGGCGTGCCCTGAGCTGGCAGCAGCATTTCATTCCTCAACTGTTTGGGGCCATCGGCTCATGCCTAAATGGCACTCTACCCCCCGCCCACGCTGCGAGGGGCTGTGCTGGGTGCCCAGCCCTACATCGCGGGGGCTCTGCTCTCCTACATGCATCTCCAGCCCCCCAAGCCACCCTGTGAGAGCACCTCTCCCCCCAACTGAAGGGACTGAGCACACAGCACAGGGTAGAGACTTATGTTTCTGTTGAGCCATCCTCCTACTTGCCTCTCCCCGAATTTTGTGGCTTTTGCGCCAAAGAGAGGGGATAAGCCTGAGCGTGCAAACATCTTTTGGCAGGGACGGGCACTCACCGATGGGTGATGCTCTTCAGCAGACCCCAGAAAACTGGCTGGGGAAGGGGTCCCCGACCCCCTGATTTCTTCCCTTTCCCCCCACTCTCTGCTTTTATATGCTTCGCCTTCAGCCCGTGCACAAAGACAGCTTCCAGGGCGCTGCAGAGGGTGTTCGCGTTCCCATCGTCGCTGGTTACAACGGCATCCGAAGTCACGTACTGCTTCTGCAACGCCTTGATGGCGTTCACCAGTTGCTTCTTGATCAGCTGCAGGACAGAAGGTACATGCTTGGATTGTAAAAGAATAAGTACTAGGAAAGCTTTCATATAAAACGGCTCAAAACCTGCAAGGTTCATCCAGAGCAAAGCACCATGCGACTCCTGCTTCATCCATGTGCTTGGCAGCGGCTGTTAGGGAGCACCAGAGCTCAACCAGTCAATCTGGGGACTCGTGGCATCACGGTTCATTTGGCTTTTTTTAAAAAAATGAGTAATTTATGCAATTTTGGCTGGTGTTTTGGAGCCCACTAGGTTGCTGGGGCTCTATTCAGAGCATGTGGTACTTCCTCTGTAGACACCAAATTGCTTAAGAGAATGGGGAGAAAAAGAAACGGGTTCTTTGCAGGCGTTTGCTTGGAGGAAACAAAAGGATTAAATAAGCATGGGTGAGAAACGAGGAACTTGAAGGAGATAACCCGTAACAAGGGCTGTGAAACCATTTGAACTCGTGCAGATCAGCCCAAGCAGCATGTGACGCGCTAACAAGTCCCGCCAGCAGAAATCAAAGCTATAGCTCTCACTCTCAAGCAGCTCCTCTGTGTTCATTAACCCACAGGCACTGCTGGGGATGCCCCCCTCCCCCCCCAAAAAGATGGGTTTGGAAGGATGGCTGGGATTTAGCTGCTGCCTTCAGAGAGACGTGGGGGGCTTTGAGGCTGGAACATGGGAATTTTACCTTCCAGCAGCTTTCCTTCCCTTGTTCTCACACCAGTTGAAAATAAGCAAGTTCAGTGAATTTAACAATTTTACACTGGTGAAGAGAATTTTTTTTTTTTTTTTTCTCCTAACACAGCTGAGCCCGGATGTCTCAATCAACGTTATTTAAAACGAAAGTTGTACTTCCCAGCAGGCATTTGGCAAACACTGCAAATTCAGCCGGGACCTCATCAAACAATTCATGTTTCGGCATCAATCACGCAGCATTCAGGGCGAACACTGAATGGCACCAGCCACTGCGACTGGGGCAGGGCAGATTTTGACTTGAGCCTGGGTTGGCTGCACAAACCCGTATTGAATTTCCAGCCCAGGGTGTTTTTTTTCAGCATCTAAATAAGATTTCCAGCAGCTGTAGTTCAAGGACAACAGCCGGGGGAACAGGCACCTTCTCCCTGCCCGTATCAGGGGATGCCTCTTGCAGCAGGAGCCACTTTCCAGCTGCCCTGCAGATCTGCTAGCATAAGCAACCCGCCTGCAAGCAGCAACCGTGGGCTAACAGGATTAAAGAGTGCAAATGATTTTATCTGTCATGCATGAATTAATTTTGCTGTAGGATGAATTAAACACCCGGTTTGAACTGCCAGGTTTGAACTTTGCTCATTAAACGTGTTTAGACTCCCAAAGCTGGGTGAAGAAACCCCAAATATACAGAGCGGCGGTGCTCCTCCACCCAGGTATCAGGGCTGAGGACCCTCCCCTGCCCCACGCTGGGTCTTGCCACGAGGGGCAAAGCCCAGAGTAGAGTCTGATGCAATTTAACTCACAGTCCACGTATTTGCTTTAACCTCCCTGCACCAGACAAACCATCAGGGACCCTCTCTGCTGGAAAGCCTGAGCTGCCCTTTACCATATAAACCATCCCAACCCCAGCTGGCAGCACGGACAGGTCCTACCATGTTCTCACTGGTGACTGGCGTTGCACTGGGGGGTAACTGGAGCTACGTGGGGAGGTTCAGGGGGTCTTGCTCACCTGTATGGCTTCCTTGGGGTCATCGGCGTGGCTCGAATGCATCTCAGCTGCTGCCGCTCCCTGCGCCGGGCGCTGCCTTCACATGTCACCTTTGGGACAGGGAGGAGGAGCATGTCTGAGCACCCACTGGGTTTACATCTAACTCACCTGCCACGCAAAGGGCACCCGGTGTCAGGCAGGAGGCACGGATCATGCACTGAGGCATTGTGCAAGCGCTCACGGCCAGACCGCCGCGGGACTCAAGCTGGGACTGACATACGACCGTATCGAAACACACCACGCTCCCCAGGGACCAGGAGAGTTTCAGGCAAAACAGAGCACGGCCAAGAGACCGAGAGGGAGTAATTAACCCTTGCAAGAAGGGGTAATTAACCCTTGCAAGTTGCCTGCAGGCAGCCCTAAACCTGAGTGGGACGCCGGGCCGGTCAAACCAGCAGCGATGCACGCAGGGCCAGGGATTGCTTCCCTTCTGGTTCTACACCACCTGCAGTGCCCAGGCGCCAGTGAGGGCATCAAGACAGGCATTTAGCAAGAGTGAGCTTGAACGATGACACTTAAACACCATGTGAACAGCATTAAGGTGGCCCAGACAGAGGGGTGTCACCCCCCAGCAGACCCTGGGCAGAGGTGACGGCAGCTCATCTCGCCGGTACGTGCTGGAGGAGCGACGCTGCTGCCAAACCCAGCTGGGACAGACCCTCTGGGAGGTGCCCGGGCACTCGCCCCGATGGCACAGAGCTGTCTGGGAAGATGGGAAGGAATAAAGCAGCTTCTCCATCAGGTTTCCAGTTGCTCCGTTCAGAGGCAGATGAACCCCAGAATGTCCCTGCTCCTGGGGGTGCAGATGGCAGGGCTGCTCTGCTGCAGCTGAATTTGGTAGGAGAGGGAGAAAAATCAATGTTCTACCGCTACGGGAAACCCCGGGAAAACCAGAGCCAAGCAGCCTCGCTGGGGTCATCTGCAACTGCAGGGTGTTTGCAGACAAGGGACCTTTGACTTCTGACTTCTGGCCTCCTGTCCTGTTCTTCAGAGCCGTCTGCTGAAAACCAGCTGTGCCTGGAGGCTCTGTGAGCAAAGCATGCGGCTGTCAGCGAGACGCCTGTCGCACGGCTGCATCCCTGCTCAAACACAGCGTGTCCTGGCACTGAGAAGGGTCTGAGAGCTGCTCCAGCACCAGCTACTGCTGTAAACCTTTCTAAGGATGTGATAAATTGGAGAAGAAATTTATTCCCTTGAGTTGGAAGCCCTCGCCATCCAAATGGAGGAGAGCCCAGCAGCTGACTGTGTGGTTTGGGTATGCCCACAGCAGACAACCGTCTTGGTATTGCATCAATACTTCAGATTTTATTTTCAAGGCAACACAAAGACCCCAGGGCTTTCCCCAAGCTGACCTGATGGCCTCGACCTGCCCCTCTCTCTGCACCGTGAGCCATCAAACCAGTGCAGAAACACGGTTTGCAGACCAGCTCCTACATGGTCATGGCCAGTCCCAAAGGCAGCAGTGGTCCAGATCCAGAGCAGCCCAAATCTGGAGCAGCCTAAACCCAGAGCAGTCCGAATCCAGAGCACCCCATGCACGTACCGCATCAGCCAGTCCTGCCCAGAGCAGCGGGTCAAAAGCCCTTTGGGGACAAACTCTGGATCAATCCTCAGTGTTTCCAGAGTTCACAAACAATTTCATAGAAAAGGAAACTGTTTTCGCCATGACTTGTCATAAGATTTCCTCTCTTTGGGTTGCAACACAGAAATGGGGGAGCACAGTGATTACAGGAACATTAACCTCTGGCTCAGAGGCTTGAGGTGCTGCTGGGGTTTTTTAGGGGGAGCAAGGGGACACCTAAGGGCCAGCAGCAGTTGATGAGGACCACAGAGAGCCACCTCCATCTCTGTCCTCCGCATGGGAGGTTGAGGCTCCTCGGGGCCGGGCAGCCCCTGAACCTTTCCCTACCACCTTCTCCATACACCCCGCAAACGAGCGACACATCCCACCCAAGACACATTCAGGGTGCAAGAGCTGGGGGTGGGAGAGCCAAGGGTGCGAGGAGGAAGCTGTGGGCATTTCTCATGCCCAGAGAAGCAGTGCAGGTGTTTCAGCTCCAGAACTGCACCCGCCGTCTGTGCTCTCGGCGCCGGCCACCCCGGCGTCCCTGGGTGCTCGCAGAGGAGGGCACTGCAGCGGTGTTTTTGCAAAGACCTCATCCAGATTTTACTGAGCGAGTGGTATTCCCCCAACACACACGCTCCTTTGTCGGCATCACCTTTCCCAGCGTCTGCAGGAGGCAAGACGCCGAGGAGGACACCCGCCACCTCCATCACGGGACTCTCCACTCCCACCGCGACCAGTCCAACCAGTTTGTTCCAGCATCATGAATCCACACGGCACCGCTTCTGTTGGGACAGCATTTTCCTGAATAACGAGTGCAATGAACCAGCTCTGAGGTGGATTTCACCTGACACAAGTCTGTGGTGAAACATGGGGAAATCGGGCCAGCAGCCCCGGCGCCGGACTGGCCGGCTCTAGAAGGAACCAGAGGGCTCCAGAGCACTTCCAGGCAAATCCTGGAAAGCCACGGCTGTTCCTTGTGATCTTGAAAGGATAAGAGATGGGATGGATGTGCAAACACAGAGCCAAGCACATCTATAGCAGAAAAAAAACCCACATTGTTTCCCAGCAGTCACCACCCCGGAGGCTACGCAAGCAGAGCACAACAGCTTGAGTAAAACAAAGAAAATAAAACAAGTGAGAAATAAATCAGCCAGCAAGCCGGTGCGGTTAAACCTACCGAGGAAGAGAGTCGCCGGTGGTGCGAGAGCAGAGCTGTTTATTTACCAAACTGCTGCAAAACAGCCAAATTCTTTAGGAACGGCTTGTTCAAACCAAGCCTTGTGCCAGGAGAGGCAGAGACCCCGTCCCAGAGCTCGGCTCTTTGGTCTCCCAACAAGCGACGCTCTCCGAGTTATAAATAAACAGCAGGTCACCGCTCGTGCTTTGCAAATGGAAAACAACAGCCCACGACGACGGCGTGAACCGGTGACTCAAGGCCTGGACGCGGAGCCAGTCATTTTCCAAGCACGAGTGCTGTGCCAGTCACCCTCCGTCCCGGGGAAATGAGGGCTTTGATGGGACGGTGGGTCCCAGGGCTGGTGTTGGGACAGCCCTCTCCTCCTACACAGCTTCTGCCGTCCACCCGGACCCAGCCACGCTTGATGTGCAAGCTGACCCCAAGCAGAAGCAGCACAGGAGCAGGAAAGCCAGCTGGCACGGCGAGCGGATTGGTTTGTTGGGAGGATAAAACCTCTCGGAAATAACTGAGCGAGGGTTAGGGCAGGGTTAGAGCCCAGCCCCAGCTCACAGCAGGACAATCGTGGTGCAACTTCAGCTCCTTCCCTGCACCCAGCCCGGCCGCGATTCCCACTGCAGGGACACAGGCATCGCGTAAGGGACGGGGACCAACACGCCACCCTCCTCCCCGCGGAAACGTCCTCCTTGCAGCTGACAAACCTGGTGGAGGATGGAGAAGAGCCGCCGCTGCTGAACCCCTCCAACTTCTACCCCCGCGCACCGAGCGGGACGCCCAGGAGCAGCCGGGGGAGGAAAACCAGCAGCTGAGCTCCCAGCACTGCCCTTGACGGCAAGATTGCGTTTCTCAAACACAAAAAAAATGAGAATTTCTTTTAGGCTGTTGCCTACTCCTCTACCAGACTACAATTTGGTGGAGCTGCAGGTAAAGCTGGGGGTTGATTTTCCCCGGTGTCACAGCTGGCAGAGCCACCGCGCAAGGGCGAAGCGGGTTGTGAAACCCCCAGCGCGTTGCAGCAAGGTGTTCCTGTATTTATACTCCCAAATTTTGTGTCGCTCCGGATTCCCAGCGCTGGAGTTTCCCAATTGATTTGGTGGCCATCGGACACGGCAGGCAGCTCGCATCCCTTGACAGGGGGAGAACTGGGGGGTCACTGGAAGTAAGGCGACAAGAAACCGGCTCTTTACACTCCACATTTTCTGCTGGACACAAGAACTACCCAGAGCTCGTTCATGGCTGCTTGTTTTAAGTGAGAAAATATAATTTGTAGAGAACGTAACGCACAAGAAACCAGAGAAAGCTCTAAAAGTGAAGCCTCTGGGCCCGGCGTGAGGGCAGGAACCAGGCTGAGATCTTTGGGGTGTCAGTGCCGGAGGGAGCGGGTCGAGGACCAGCCACCCCCCCGGGACACTGTGGAAAGCAGCATCTGACCCACGTGTGGGGGGGGCATGGAGCGGCTCAGCGCGGGGTCAAGGCTGCCGGGCAGCGCTGCCCACACGTGGGGGGCCTGGCGTGGGTGGGCCTCGGGGTCAGGCGCCCCCGGTGGGGTGGGGTGGGGGGGGGCTCGTGGCTGTGGGGGGGGACCCGGGTGGGTGGGGAGGGATCGGGCCCCGGCTGGGGGTGGTGCGGGCAGAGCCTGCGTGGGGAAGGGTCTGCAGCGGGGGGGGGGGGGGTGTGGGGGGGACACGCACACCCCCCTTGCTTGCACCACTCCGGACCCCCCATCACCCTGCACCCCCCATCTGCACCCCCATCGCCCCGCACCCCCTCTCTGCCACCCCCCCCCCCCCCCGCCCCCCGCTCACCGGCTCCGCGCCTCCGGCCGGGAAACCCGGAAGTACCGGCCTTGCCGGGAGCGCGCACGCCCCGCCCCTCCCGACGCCAGCGCGCAGCGGGGCGGGGCCGAGGGGCGCGGGGCTACGCCCACCCCCGGGCCACGGGGCGGGGCTGCGGGCGCGCGCGCTTGGCCGCGGAGGGTGTCGCGGACGAGCACGCACGCGCGAGCGGGCGCCCGTGTGCGCGCACACGCACGGATGCACACGCACGGATGCACACACACGGATGAGCACACACGCATGTGCACGGAAGCGCTCACACACGCGTGCACGCGCACAGGCACAAGCACGGGCAGGCACACCGCTACACACGCGCGCACGGGGACTACACACGTGTACGTGCAGGTGGGCACACGTGTGCACATGTGTGTGCAAACAAACCCCCCCCCCCCCTCACAGGGGGCCCCTGGGGGGCGGCAGCAGCCGGGGGGGGTCCCGGCTCAGCCTCCTCCCACCATCGGTTCGCACGCTTCCAGCCCTCGCGGGTGAAAATCCCGCAAGCATTAAGGGCAATTCTGGAAGCCCGTTGAACATACAATCCCCCGGGGTGCACAGCGGGACCCCCGAGCTCGCTGCCTGTGGAGCAGAGCAGCCCCCAGCCCACGGGTGCCCCCGCGGGGATGTCCCCCGCGCGCTGAGGGGGGCTGCACCCCAGCGGGGCCCTACAAGGGCTCCCCGTCCCTCATAGCCCTCCTGTCCCCATCCTGCTGGGATGAGCTTTGGGGTACCCCGAGCGCGTGGCCACCCGTAGCACCTTCCTCCGTGGGGAGGGACCGTCGCTCTGGCTCTTGGGGTGCACCCGAGCTACAAGGCAGAGGCATTGGGTTTCGGGGTAATTGCATCTCCCCACGGTCACAGCATTTCAGGGGTGCTGTGGGCATCTTGCTGAAGTAACAGCCAGAAAATAATATTCAAGGAAATAGCCAAGGCAATAACAACAAGAAAATAATATCCAAGGAAATAACATCCAAGGCAGTAACAGCCAAGGAAATAACAGCAAAGAAGTAACAGCCAAGGAAAGCCTCAGCAGGTTCCTACATCAGAACAAGAGCTGAAAAATAAGCGTGGGCATGGTCACCAGCCCACTTACTTTAGCTCAGACTTGTTGAAAATCTCCTCGTCCGAGATCTCTTCATCGTACAGCTCAGCCATGGATTTTTTATGCTGGGGGTCAAGGGGTTGGTACAGGTTTCTAAGCCACTGCGGTTTGGTTTCGTTCAGATCTGATACGTGCGAGTCCTGGAAAGCGCCGGGGAAGGGAAGGTTTTGGAGAGGGTGAGAAACAGCCAGCGGTGCAGGTAGCAAGCAGAGGGGAGACCTGGCACGTACTCCCTGCCCTTACCTGCTCTTTAACGTTGTACTTGTCTTTTCTCCATCCTTGTGGCAGTAGTTTTTGAAAAAACCTGAGGAAAAAAAAGGAAAAGGATAAAGAGTGGCAGTTACTGGCAGGAAGGTTGCCTGCACCCTGCCCTGCTGGGGAAGCAGCTGCTGTAGGATTCAGGCAAGTGGCATTTACAGCACTGCAAAACATCAGGATTTGGTGGGCTAAAGGGGGAGAAAAAAGGCTTTTGTGTGTCATCACATCAGAATTCACCTTTCCAGGCCCATAAGCAAGGGAGGCTTGGCCAGTGAGGGCTGCAGCAGGTGCCAGCGCAGAAGCCTTTTCCTGCTCGGGGTGACATTTCAGCTGACACTAAGGAAGATGAGGAGCCCCAGAAGAAGGGACGGTGCTGGCTGACGTGACTGGGAATGTGTCCTGCTTTAGCCTGGGAGGGGACAGGAGCAAGCTCTTCAGCAGCCTCTCTGGGGAGCGGGGCAGGGAGAAACAGGGCAGAGCTGTCACCCGGGAAGAGTTTTGCTGGGAACTGGAGCACAGAGGTATTTCCTCATGGCTGGGCAACGTGGTCGCAGGGACAAGGAACCAAGTGGGAGCCCAGGGCCAGCATGTCCACCCCACTCAGGATGGAGCACCACTGGCGTGGGAAAGGGCTGCCTGGGTGGCTGGTGGGGATGTGAGCTTACAGCCGTGCCGATCACTCATGCTTTGGGGTCCCTTTCTTGTGTCTTTTAAAAAAGCTACGTGTTTTAAACATAGACTGGTGGGTCTTTGGCAGCTGGCACCTGTGCGGCGGCGGGGGGGGCTCAGGAATTAGGTGCTGTTCAGAGTCAATACTGTTCATGGCACAGCAGTGGTGCAGTGCAGGGAATAATTACCATCTCGGGCGTGATTTACTGGTGCTTTGGGGCTGAGAAGTGGTTGCAGGTTTTGGGGAGCAAACCTGGTGAAGAAGAGAAAGAGAGAGACTCGTAACATCAGGATTTTCTCATCATACTCTGCAAAAGAAGGGAGGCCAAAATGTTCTTCTCCAATCGAGCCCTTTATATACATGTGCAAGTCTGTGCCAGCAGCCATGTTTTTAGAAAGAGCCCCTCCCCCCTTCCCAACTCCCTGCTTTTCCCTGCCTCTGGAATGACCTGAACTCCCAGAGCTCTCTTAATCTCAGCAATGTTTATGTCTGACTTTCTTATCTATGCAGTGTTTTGCAGGGTGCTCCCCTCCTGTTTAACCCCAGTCTGAAACACGTAGGTAGGCTTTTAAGGAAATAAAAGCTTTTTTTTTTTTTTTTTTTTTTTTTTAATTGAGAAGGACCCCAAAGGGAGGCTGAAACTGTGGGCATGCTGGGTCCTCTCCCCTGCCTGCCTCTGGCACTGCCCTGACCTACGTGGAGCCATGACCCTTCGCAAAAGGACTTGATTTTGGCAAGAGGGAAGGTAGCAGGGGAATTGCTGAATGGCTGAAAGCAATCAGTGCGGGCAGGAGAGCAGAACAGGGTCAGGAGAAGAGCCTTGGAGGTGACTGTAGGGCTGGGGTTTGCGTGATAAAACTTGGGGAAGGGCTGATGGGAGAGGCTGTGGTGGGAGGGAGGCAGAGCCCCACTGAAGGAAGCTGTTTGGAAAGCAGAGCTGCAGACAGGGCGTAACAGATGCCAGGACAATCCCCCCCAGTCAGGCTTGAACCCATGTGGAGCTGTGTGGATGCCGTGAAAAGCTCCAAGGCTGGAAAAACATCTCCTGTGCTACCCATGGGCATTCACAACAGCACCCTGGGGCTTATAAACTGGGAGGGGGGAGGAGGAATCCAGCTACAAGGCTTGACTGACAGCTGTCTGTCAAACAAGTTATTGGCTTACCTCAATGAGACAAATCACCATGAGACAAATCATGATGATGATAGACGCCGATATCGCTAACAGGAGCCTGTCGCCGGAGGTGTACTCTGATTTCCACTGGGAGAAAAGGAGAAAAAATCAGGAGGGAAGAGCAGGTTGCTCATTCCGTTCCCCGTTGTGCAGGAGAACGCATCCAGCAATGCCCAGGATCTCTCCTACCTTCCCTGTGGATTTCCTGCCTGCCTTCCAGGCCCTGATCATGCCACTGGAAACATTCCCTTCCAGGAGACACTGGCCCACGAGAGTAGAGTCTCCCTGGTCAACTTGCCTCTTGCTGAGCAGCTTGATGAGCAGCCCCATCTTTGCGACCATCTTTGCACAGGCCAGCTGGACCTTGGGCAGGCGGCACTCCCTCCTCAGGGCTTGCGCCACGTGGGCGATGAACGCCCGCAGGGCTTCGTCTGGGACGAGCAAGTGTAGCTGATGGTGGACCTTGGTTTCAAAGAGGTTTCCTTGAACCGGCCTGTTGTCTGGGCTGCTGGAGCTCCCTGATTTATTGAGGAAACTGGATCCTTCCTTTTGTTGCTTCCGGTGTGGTTTTGTGTTCCGAGGGATGGCCAGTAAATGCCTACCTAGAGAGGAAGCCTCTTCTTCAGCCGCATTCTCTAGCAGGCTGCTTGCAGCAAGGGGGCTGTTGCTAGCCAACAGGTTATAGAAAAAACTCCGGTTTGTGTTTAGTCTCTGCTCTGCTTTACTTTCTGTTGGTATGGGTTCTTCCTCTGGATTCACATTGCCAAATGTCTCGTAGAAAAGCTGGTTACTTTTATTCAGATATGGGTTGTCCCCCTGCTTGTGCTTTTTGTAAGTCCAAACATAGTCCTGCCTTGGAGATGGTACTTCCTCTGCATCTTCTGCATCCTCCACATCCTCCATCCCATGAGTTTTCCTGGTCTGTTCCACAGCTTTGGGATAATTTTGAATCTTAAAAGACCTGGACAAATGAGGGTCCTTTGCTGGGGGGTGCAAAAAGGAATGTTTTGAAGGAGCTGTGGTTATTTTGTGATGTCTGAAGACAGAGACGTTGTCAGTGCGGTTTAACCTGCCAGCTGCTTCCCAGGGGTTTAATGCTGTCTGGTTCAAACCTAAGTCCTGCTGCTTTTGCACCGAGCCTGTGGTTGTCTCTCCTGCCACTGTTGGCATCTTGTGCACCTCGTGCTTCTGTGTGGTAGGCGTTGGCAGGGGTGAGGCAGTGTTTTTGACAATCACGACACTCTTAGCCTTGTGCAGCTTCTTCTTGACCTCAGCAGCTAGCACTTTTGTCAGAAAATAGAGTTTCCTTATATCAGTTTCACTGGTCCAGCCCATGTGATGAATGCTGCGCAGCATCAGCATCAGCTCCTTACTGGTTTTGCCTTCCTGTCTGGATAGGGATTGAGTGGAATATGAATTTTTTCTGTAAATGTGATTATTTGGGTCACCATCAGTGCCGGCCACACTCAGGACAACCGCAAGCGTTACGGTGTCATAGTCTCCAAGCAAAGACTCCTTGGGCTCGAGGTTCAACACCGTGCTGGCGTTCAGTTTTCTGGATTGTACCACTTCCATTATTTCTCCTTCTGTGTCTGTCAGAGGATCTATGCGAGCTGTAAAACACCAAGGCAGCAGATCAGTGACTCGGCATCACAGGAAGCTTTCTGCTAAAATACAGGGTCAAAGGTTTACCCCAAGCAGCAGGCGCTTGTCTTTAAGACAAGGCAGTGTGTGAACTGAATGGTGGATGTGTTACAGACGGGAAAAGTCTTGTTAAATCAATCAGATTATCTCATCAGGGCAGAAGAGATAGATATTTCTTTTCTGTATCTCCCAGGGCTCTGTTGGATCAGTGGGAAACATCCTGGGGGAATGGGTTTGCTGTTGGAGAATTTGCTGTTGATACAAGCCAGTGTTGAGCTGCTAAAATCACCATAAAGCTTTTAAATTCAGAGTGAGCCTGGTAAACTGAATACCCAAAGACACAGTGTTTGTCCCTGATCAGTTATCCCAGCTAGCCCTTCTCCCTGCAGTTAGGAAAACCGAGGATATTTCACATAAAAATGCCTCTGGGTTGTTGTCTGCAACAATCCGCAGTCAGAGCGAGCCCCTGATAACAGAGAGCTGATGAATGCAGATCCCATCACCCAGGCCTAGAAGTGGAAGGGATTTGATCCAGGGCGATACAAACAGCCCAGGAGAGCTCCTGCCCCAGCACGCGAGGGGCACATGCTGAGTCAGCAGGGTGAGGGTAAGTCTTCAAGAGTCCTACAAAGGCTGCAAACACAACCTTATCTCTAATCCTGCTTTGCAGATAGCTTAATGCCAGAGGAGGTGACATGGTCAAGAATATTTACAGATTACGAAGGTATTTAGGCCTTTTTTTTTCCTGTTAAAATGATAGGAAATTTGACACAGAAATACCTTTAAGTATCTAGCCCTAAATGGCTTAGCAGCCTGTTTTCCCTACACTTGTGACTACGTTAGGCTCACTTGTCCACATCCAGTTTGAAAATTAGTTACTTGGGGACCTTGGAAACTTTGCTGTATCTATTTGCAGAAGTCCAGCTTGTCTCTGTTTTCAACAGGATGATATTTACCCTGTGCAAAGATTGAGCAGGACAGTGCATTGTTCATGTTGCACAGGCTAATGGGAGGATAATGATGCTTGGTGTTCACTCAAACCACGACACCCTGCAAAGGAGATCGGGGTTACTGTCCTCTCTCCTCCTACACATGGGGAGCAGGGTGGCAGAGGGACCAGACAATTTTCCAAGATCACCCAGGCAATTTTTGGAGCTTGTATACCCCAGATCCTCTCCAACACACGGTGGATTACAGGAGGTTTCTGTGGAGCCTGCCAAGGGGCATCCATGCTCGGTTATGGGTCTTGGGGTTTCCAGTGTGGGTGGCAAGTTTGAGGTGCAGCTCAGCATGTGTCACCTTGCCAGAGCAATGCAGACACTGGCGGACCCTTTGGCTGTGTCTGTGACCCCTCTCACTGCTGAGCTGTGACCAGCCAAGGTATGGTGGCACTGGAAAGGCTCAGGAGGCTGTCAGGGGAAATTTGGGGGGTTTATGAGCAGATGGTGCCTTCCAGTGCTTGGGAACAGTACTGGGCATGCATGATTTCCTTGGCTAGATGCACTGTGTGCATTGGAAGCTCGTGTGTTTGTTTAGCTCAGCTAGCTATTTCTTCTCAAGATAGTATTTGACACAGAAGATATGTGTAATCTCTAGTAACTTTTCAACCCTTGTTTTTTCCAAATTGTGTGCTCAAAGGGGAACTTCGTGTGCCTGTGGCTCAGGAAGCACAGGCCGAGGCCTCTCAGGTCTCACGCGAGCTGCCTGCACTGGCCTTTGGGCTGATTTAAAGGCCTTGCATGGATGAGGCTCCTCTAGAGAGTCTGCCCAGATTTAGTGTCCCTGGGACTGGCCAGGAGCCACCAGGCTGGACTGATGCCATCATGGTGGCCAACGCTGCCTGGGAACCCATATGAAGCAGGGCCATGCTACAGCATCTCCTAAAACCAGAGTAAACTGGGCAGATCTGAGGTTTACATCAACATGAGGAAGCCTACCACAGTGGAGAGCTCTGGTGGTGCACAGGTTCTTGCAGTGGAACTTGATGGTCCTGCATGAGGGTTCAGTGGTGTGTTTCTTCTGGCAGAGGCAGCAGGCCACGTAACTGGGCAGTTTGCTAAAGAGAAGAGGTTACTGGAGAAAAATCCAGCATCTCAATCCATGTCTCTGAACCCAACCCAGGTAATGCATGGATAATGCATCATGGTTTTGCTTCAATTTCTTCTACAGCTCTGGAAAACTTCCCCTCACCCCCAATCCCAATGAACAAGTATGTTCTCCTAATTTCTAAGAGATGTTTCAAGTAGAAGTTAGGCTGCTCCACTGACATCAAAATGTTGATTTTACTTTTGGAAATGGAACTAGTCCTGAAATACAATTTGAAACAGAAATGCAACCCAACTTGATGTAAAACTTCCTTTTGAAATACCTGGAACATGTTATCTAAAGGGTGAAATTCTGTTTCTTAGCAGGTGAGTTTGGGAGGTTTTCAAAAGTAAATAGCAACCTTAAGCTTACTGGGGTTATTCTGAATTAGTGGTGGGCAGATTCGTTTCCCAAGCAGACCCTTGTTCCAGCAGTTACGATCTGCTGGCATCTGGGACCCAGTCCCTGCATACTTACAGCGTTTCCAGGCGGACTGTTGTCAGGAGGAGTGTGAGCACCGTCTGCTGAGTCACTTGTGTTGCACCCAGGTCTCTGAAAGGATTTGAAAAACCACATTAAATTTTCAGGTGGCATTACCAGAACTCTGCTCTGAGAACAAGCCTAGGTCCCTGATGATTGTAGTGGTGTTCACAGAGGGATCCACTTCTGCCTAATCAAACAGAAATGATTGAAAACACTATTGTCTTTCTGCTTTATCCTCCTCCTAACCATGGGGTCTGAATAAGGAGAGAATCCTGCAGATCCTGTGGGAGACAGATGCAAACAAAAAGCATTTCCTGGCTCAAAACCTTCCTCCTCCTCTCCCATGAGTGCAGCTTCAGTCCTTGAAGGGAGACACTTCTTGCCCAAGAGAATGAATCCACTGTGACCTTGGAAGGAGAGTTTATATCAGTGAAAAGAGAAGATGTGCTGAGCAGAAAGCAAAGGGTGTCTGTGGGATAGTGGGGCTGTGAGCAGGAAGGATCTCTGCAAAAACCCTGGACTTCTTGCTCCCTGAGGAGTCATGCAGATGTAAGCAGGAGCCATAGGATGCAATGAATCGTGATCAACACAGAGCATCACCTGCCCTGAGCTGTGTCAAGGCAGCGGGCTGGGGATGTGGGGTGGGCAGGAGCCCCAGACTACTGGCAGAAGCGCACCAGTGACCAGGAGCTGCTGGATCCCCCCTTCTCAGTGCTCAAGCAGGAGTCGGGGCATTCCCAGACCCTTCAGGCCACTCCACTGCCTGAGACCTGGGCAGCCTCTAGATTTTTAGAGCTTATGTCCCAGCTCCTCAGTTGCTTTGCATCTGGAGACACACCAGAACTGCTTGGCCTTTGCCTTGCTCTGCTGGAGCTGGGGGTTTTCGTGCCACTAGCAGAAAAAGGCTGGGAGAAGAGAGAGATTTGCTACTGCATCTCTGCTTTCCTGACAACAGGGCACTCAAGAGGGACAAAGATCTGTATTAATCTGGTAAAAATGAGTCAATACTTACAGATACTTGACTGAAGGCAGCTCGAAGAATGATGTGTCAGCAATAATGGACAGTGGGTTATGGCTTAGGATCCTGAAAAAAATAACACACGCCACTGTGAATTGGTGATGGGAAGGACATGAGCTGTGTGGGTAGGGGCACGTGGGGATGGCCTGTCCACATGCCCTTTTACGTATGAATCTGGAAAGCCAAGATCAACTGGCCCTATGCAGCAGGCACTGGAGAAATGGGAGATTGTTAAAATGGTTACTGTAGAGTGAAAACCCCCCAGTGGTTCCCAAACTGTATAAACAGAGCTAAATCAAAGTGAATTTCCACTAGATCATTGCGAAGTATTTCTGTGATCAAGGAGTTTTTCCTCTTTGCCAGGCTTCACATTTTTACCCTTTTAATCTCAGAGAAGCCCAAAGAGAGTTGTGCCTGTTGGATTTGATGTGGAATTACGCTGAAATCCTCTTTCCAGGCACCTCTGTAATGTGAGTGGTGTAAAGAGGTTTATGGTAGGTGAGGATCCAGCCGAGTTTTATGCATGGCAGATGTGGATTTGGCTGAACAATTTTTACTCAAACCTCCCCGAAGAATTTCCTTTCAAGTGGAGAACAAACATAGGAAATTTCAGCCTGAAGATAAAAAATTGGCTGAGTGCTATGTGTGTGAGGAAGGGCCTGGGATGAAGGCTAGAGGCACGAACAGATGCTGATGGGCTGATTCACAAAATACATCAGGTCCTCATTATCTCCAGCTAAAAGAGCAAAAGCCCAGAAGTGCTTCTGCTGGAAAACACAACATCTCTTTCTTTCCTCCTCAGCTCACACCTTCTCTTTGCTTCCCTCCACCAGGACTTTGATGTTTTTGGAGTCTTACTTTCCATATTTTCTTACATTTCCACTGTCCATAAACTCTTACTCAATTACTGCATCCAGCTGGGCAAAACTGTGGCCTAGTCCTATAGGAATTGTTGTTCATAATTTATTCTGCCACCTTAGTTGATGTATCATGTGAGAAGTATCACACTTTTCAGGAGAGCAGGGAGACTGTAGCCTTTTCCTTATGTCTATGAACCATTGGTGGGCAAAACACCCTGGCTTCCCACCTACTTCAGGTCCGGATGGAAATGATGATCCAGTCCCTGGAATGGCTTCTTGATAGAACCAACTGTGGATTAAGTCACGTTTTCTCAAGGTACCAAAAGAACAAAGTTTCCATTTTACAGGTGTTTTTGAGACCTTTTACTTTTAAATGCAAATATGCAAAGTGAAATTTTTGTCTAGAAATCTGGGTCACATCCCATACCCCTCCTCACTCTGCTTCTTCTCCCCTCTTGCAGCATTTCTTTCTTATCCATCCCCCTGGGCTCCCACTGCTGCTGTCTGAACCCGATGCTGGTTCAAGGGAGCCATAAGAAGATGGGCAGGCCAGGAGAAAGTGGCTGAAGGCCGCAGACTCTTGGTGGACCCTGGATGACATCTGTAGCAGGATTCAGTACTTTACAGAGAACAAATCTGCTCTTCCCTGCTGTCACTGCGGAGTCTGGTTCTGATCTACCTTTAGACCTTGTTACACTTACAGCTCCTCTAAAAACTGCATCCCATGCCATGCCTGGAAAGTGCCATTCTGGATCTGCGTGATGAGATTTCCACCAAGGTTTCTGGGGAAAAAGAAGATCACAGAAATGAATCAGGTCTGTTCTACAGGAAGCTGGAGCAAAGCAGTATTGATTTGTAGGAAATATGCAAATCCAAGGTAGAATAGGGAGGAAACTGCCATTTTCTCTGTTTTTTTTTTTTTTTTTTTTTAACCTGTCAAGGAGAGGAAATGAAATGCACATGTGCCTAATCTATTTCTGTTCCAGGATACAAGTAGTCTTCGAAAAATGGCTTCTATTATGGCTGCGTTTGGACAACCACACTATGATCTCTCATCCTGTTGTGGGTCATCCAGCCATCTGCAATGATCTCTTTAGCTCAGTTAGTCTTTTAGCAGGCGAAATTTAGTCATTGTTCTAAAAATAGCAGGAACATTTTCTAGCACAAAAAGGGTTATAAATGCAAACAGACTTCAGAAAATATATTAGAAATAAAATTTTATAACTCACATAAGCTGCAAAAAAGGAAGTGGCTCAAAGGCATGTTCCTCAATGGACAGGATTTTATTGTAAGATAAATCCCTGTTAAAATTAGAACACAAAATGTTAATTACATTTGCACTGTCATGTTTACTTTCATTTGCTTTGACTCTGGCAGCATATAAGTTACATGGCTCTGATTTCATGCAGTGTTTATATCTGATATTAGCTTGCAGTGGTGTGTAACCTGTGATAACCCTCCTGACCGGAGGTGTCTTTCCTCTCAGTGATGTTTTTCTAGCTCTGATCCCACCAGAATTATTTCAGGGCTTGATCTTCCTCTCTGATAACAGAAAAGGTTCTTTATGCAGGCACAGTTTAGCAGCTTGGGATGCATTTGCACAGACCATACCGATATGTGACCCTCCGGACGTGCCACAGAAATGCAACCTGCCTTCCCCTGGTGCCGTCGGTGCTTTGCTTGCTGAAGTCAGCCAGGAAAACTTCAGCAGAACCTCTTGCTTGAGGGCTGAGGGACAAGTTGGTAGCCAGATGTGTGACCAAAATCATTATTCTTTTCTTAATCCCTTCCTCCTACATTTTCACCACATTTGGTGAAAAAGTTATGTTAAATGGACCCTATTAAAGGTGAAAAATCAAGAACATGCAAGTCTAGAAAGAGCATAATGAAGGGGTAACCTAAACTCTGCTTTCCTTCACAGCTCTGCTGTGAGATGTGTGTCGATGCTCAGCTGCTGTGGGATTCACCTGGCTTAGCTTTAGAAATCAAAAGATTTCTTGTCTCAGCCTGAATTAGCTGCCTGGGCTTGTTCTGCAGCAAACAGCAAGAGAGAAATATTTTGGGGGAATGATTCATCCCCTCTTCAGAGAGGTTCCCAATATCGTTTGGGTGAATGGGAAATGCCTGTTCCTCTCCATGGAAAATGAAGAGAGCCTGAACAATTAGCTTAATCCTCGGCAATTATTAGGCATCTAAAATTAGAGGAGATGAATTCATAGGGTTTCTTCTGTAGGAGATGGCTTTGCTACTGGAGAGCAGTTCAGGGAGAGCGTTGGGGAACTACTGCAGCTCTTGCCTGCAGGGTCTGGACCTCCCAGGGAGGCAGCTGGGCAGTGGGAGGAAGGTCTTTGTATATGTAATCTCAGAAGTACTTTGGAGTGTTCAGTTTTCAGCCTTGTGGAAGGGGAGCGTGGCTGGAAGCCTGTTTCTTCCCAACCTGACTCATTTAGCCTGCAACCCACATCCTGCAGAGCATGCTTTCTGCTTTTAAGTTCTTGGATCCTTCTTTTCTATGATGTAGGGCACACGTTCCTTCTAAAAAGACATGGGGAGGGGGAGCTAGTGTGGGCAGTGGGCCCCAGCACTGCTGCTACCTTGTTTTTCACCATTCCCCAGAACTGAGGCAAGGCTTAGATGCAGCCCTAGGGCTGGCTCACTACAGGAGCAGCTCCAGAAAGGCCAAGACCACCCTGGACTTGGCTCCTTCCAAGCTAATGTGCATACTAGAAAATACAAAACCTCCTATTTTGTGGGCAAAATGCAAGCAAGTAAGGGTCACAGTCAACAAATGACACTACAAATGCAAATGGTGATAGAGCTGAAATACTTGCAATGATTGAAAAATATGAGCAACAAGAGATTTTGGGACACGTTTCTGTGTCCTTGTTCCAGCTACTTTAATAACAGAGGGGTGGGACCCAAATGATGACTCTCATGAGCCAATTCCAAGAAAGGGCTTCCCTTGCTGTTAGCTTTTTCACACTAGTAGTATTTTTATTTTTGACATGAGGTTTGTGTTGAGAAATGACTGTAACTGTGTCTCCTCTGAGGCTCAGGTAATCTGGGCTCTGGGCACTAAAGCTGAGCCTCTACAGTGGGATTTATTTCTGCCTTTTAGCCTTTGGGAAACGAAAAGAGAGCATGACAGTGGCCAAGCAGAAGACAGAGAACAGAGCGAGATTTGACCATTCTTGTTTCACACTTCCTTTGCCTGCACCACACAGGAAACACCAAAATATATAAAAAACTGATGTTTAAGGAGAAAAAACCTTAGGGCTCCTCTGCTCCCCTCCCAACAGTGTTAGAGACAGAGCACTTGTTGCAATTTCACAACATTGTGTGGACATAGATGCACATTTGTTTTTTCTCTGAGGGGGAGCTCAGCTGGATACAGCCCTGAGCAACCTCATGATTTTTTTTTAATAGAAAAAACCCGTGTTAGCTTTGAGGTTAAGCCTGCTCAGAGCTGGAGGTTGAGCAGAGATGTCCCAACCTCAGTACATCTGGGATTTTAGCAGAGGATGGGGTAGTGCAGGCTTCACTCTTTCCACCTGGGATAGCCACCGGAGGGGCTATCCCAAGAGTGATCAGCAATGCGGGGCTCTGCCCTCACCGCAATGGAGGTCTTTTAAACCAAACCCTAGCAGAAGCAAGGCATGCATGGATTTTGCCTTACTCTAGGTGGTTCTCATCCCAGAAATGTTGGTCTTCAGATAAACGTTGCCAGAGGCAACGGCCCAGTGTGTAGGAGATCACTGCTAGTTTGGGATTGACTCAAAGTCATCCAGTATCTGTGGGAAAGGGCAGCAGCCTCCTCCTCTTGGTTGGATTTGGGGAAATGAAAGCTGCACCATGCCCCTATGGGAATCCTCCCACCAGGCACTATGGCAGCACCAAGACATCCTGCTCTGCTCTGGCTGTAGCCTGAAACCAAGGTGGAATAAAGCACACTTGCATGGGAGTGGGTTGATCAGCAGGGCTGGCAGGGAGGGGGAGGCAGTAGCCCACGGTGGTGGGCTGGGGAAGGTACCTACAGGTACTTCAGCAGGAGCAGACCCTCCAGTGAATGCCTCTTCACTTCCCGCAAATCATTGTCCTGGAGGACTCTAGAATGAGACAAACGGACATGTACTGTTACACCAGCTACTCTCCAGGAGGAAATGGAATTTTTAGGGGAAGACAGTGGGCAGTAGCTTTACCAACACATCTGTTTGAGTCACTATAGGGATTATCACCACTCACTGCAGGAGCAGGCACTTGCTCCTGGCCTGCTGAAACTAACTGTAGCCTGATTGTTGATTAAATAAGCACGGGGATGGTGCTGTAGGATGGAAGGGGTATGGCTCACGGCATTTCTGCCATCCTAGGAGGCCCTGGGGAGTCACACCCCTCCCTGATGAGAAGCTCAGCTTTGAATTCAGATGGGAACAGTCTGTGTGGGTGCTCATGCTCATCATACTCCTGGCTCAAAAAACAGATGAAAGGATTGAAAATACCCCAACTCCTGGCATTTTAAATGCTAGAGGATACTTACAAGTACTCAGCCCACGGGTATTCCCTCCACACTTGTTTTTTGATGGAAGAAATCGAGTTGTGAGTAAAATCTCTGCAAAGAAACAATTGACACTGTCACCTCGCAGAAAAAAACACCTTCTCTGCAAATTTGACTGCAGAGGGGGAAGTGGAGTTTGCTTGGGGATGCAACACCACGGCCAGCCTGGCTTCACCCCTTGGCACAGCAGCACAAGCCCCCCCGAAACCAAGACGTCTTCTGCCAGTGACTCTCTGCCGCATGTCCCGGCTGGAATAAAAAGCCAAGGAGGGGAAGATGGGGGCTGTCTGACCACCACTGGTACTCACAGGACAGAGAGGGCCCAGCGGCGGGTGGCCGGGGGCACGCTGGCCAGGGCAGCCCGGCTGCAGTTCAGCAGCCGCCGTGGGCAGCGGCAGGGCGGCGGGCAGGGCCCCCGGGGCTGCCCCGGGCGGGCGGCCGCCGCCAGCAGCAGCACCGGGAGGAGCAGCCAGCGGCTGGGCCGCGGGAGGCCCATGGCGGAAGGGGCCCGGCCGGGGGTCGCCAGGCAACGGGGAGGCCGAAGGCCTGGGGCCCGGCGCAGGCCTCGCCCCCGCGGCCCCTCACGGCTCAGAGCGGGGCCGGGGGCTCCAGGCATCCCCGCCGTCAAGAGAATACGGACCAGAAATACAATCTCAGCCTGAGAATTTGCCCCAGTAGAGGATTTACCGCATCCCATGTGATATGGGAAAAGAAACATTTGGGGGACTTGATATGGGAAAAATAAACGTTTGGAAAAATATTTGGCAGCGGAATGACAAAATGGTGGATCACGATAGTGCTAGTAGTTATCTGCAATATCTGGGTTTGGGACAATAACCTACACCTAAGATTAACTCAAAATATTACCCGAACATTGAATAGAAAGGATTGTTGGGTGTGTACTCACTTGCCAGAACGCACAAGTAAAGGAATTACTCTAATAGGGGGGGTACCAATTCCTAGGAAAACTGGACAAGTAATCTTTGTGAAAATACTAGTTTTTCTGATAAAGTGACTGACCAGGTTTTAGAAATCTATAATCCACATCTTAACCAACCATACTGCACTTGCATCCAGAGATGTAATCCACCTAAAGGGATGCTGAAAATTGATTGCAAAACATCTCAGATTTTTGTAGGAAGCTTTTCTCAGTGCAGTAAGATTATTGATGTCAGAGCTCACGACAGAACTCACTGGCCTGTGCCTTTTGGTACGGGCTGGTACTGACTGTGTGGAAACTATGCGAGAAAGGTCCTACCAGGTAATTGGAGTGGAATTTGTACTTTAGGAGTGGTAGTCCCCAATATGAATATTATCACCAATATGAGGGAAGAAAGAGGGTGGATAAGGATGTACTTAAGATGGATCAGAGAGAGGAGGAATAAGAATGCTATTGCTGAGCGGCTCACAGGCTTTCACCATTTTGTTTGTTGGTTTATTCCTTGGTTAGGAGTTAGTGAATTGGAAAAAACACTAGTGAGTATCTCGGCGATCACTGAAATAATTGATAATAAAATGATGGATGCCATACAAGCATTACAGGTTGAAGTTGGCAGCTTGTCAGGAGTGGTCATGCAGAATCGGATGGTTTTAGATCTGGTATTAGCAGCACAAGGAGGAGTATGTACAATGATTAATACAAGTTGTTGTGTATATATAGACCAAAGCGGTCGTATCTCAACAGATCTGACAGAAATTTGGGAACAAATAAAAGTGTTACATGAGGTAACCAAGGATGATACCTCATGAGGATTTGAAGAACAATGGCATAAACTGACTACAAGCCTTCCTCCAAAAGACCCCTGCCCATGACCACTGGATGGTAGTATGCATGTGGCAAGGGGAGGAGACTTAGGATGATGAGTTCCCAGAAATAATTAGTTACGCCTATTCCCAGAATTAATAGCAATAACCCAGCCTATTCTAATGAATATGCATGCTTTTGTATCATAAATGAGCTCCTGCTTTGTGATACGGTGTGCAAGCTAGGAAGAGCGATCCCCCTTGCTCCTAGCGCTGCAATAAACATACCTGCTTTATGAGTCTTTGTGAATTGTAGAGTTTGTTTCCGCACGTCACATGGACGGCTGGTCCCTCCCTCCAGTATTCTCCCTTGTGAAATGCTGCATCTTGCTTCCCACTTGGATTTCTCTAAACCCAGCACCTGGCCACTGGATTTGGTTTCACTTTTGCCCTCCCAGTTAAAAAGCTCACCCAGTGTCAGGTGTCTTCTCCTGGGGCAAATCACTCCTTTCTTCTCTTTTTGGTTAAATAGGCCACGCTCCTCTGAAGAAGGATCTCAAATCATTCCTGTGGCTCTTCCCTGAACTCTCCCAGTTTTCAATCATCTTTCCTTCCAGAGAGAGGTCCAAAAATCTTCAGCAGGGGTTTGTTATGAGCATTCCCCCCTCCACCTTGTGATTTGGGCAGCTTGATACCCCTTTCCCACTGCTTGTGCTGTCTCTAAGGTTCATTCATCACACTGGGTTACAAAGTTTTACTTAATTTAATGAAAAACCTGTTCAAAATTAGAAAGAATATTTGCTTTACATAGTGATAAAGTCCCAACTCCTTAATAGTTGGAGCTCAACACATGGCTCAACATATTACAAGACTTAGGCTTATTGCTTTAAAAGACATTTCACTTAGAGAAATACTGTTTTTTTGTGCCTGTTCAGACGTGTGTAAGTACCACAGCTACTCCTGCTGGTTAAGGCATCTCCTTCTGCCGTCTCTGGTCTTCTGCAGCTCAGAGTGAACCTAACTGGAGGCTCTTGCAGGGAGGGCTCGTTCCTTTTATTTTTCTATAAGTGCTACGCACATCTGTTACGCTGTCTAAATAATAATCATGAAGCTAAGCTGGTTCCATATATAGCTGACCTGGATAAGTTGACAGGAAAACACTTCCTCTCCAAAACCAGCATATATTTTTGGGCTTAATTTTAGTAACACTAGGTTTATTGCCCATTTCTTTCACTGTTACGTATTTGGAGAAAAAGAAAACATTGGATATGATGCACATGTCATTTCACAGTGTTATACTTTCATTCCTAATCAAACACTGCAGAACTTTCAGAAACGATGTGAAGACAGAGCAGCACTAATTGGATGGCATCTCCTAGCTAGGAAGCTCATCGTCAAAACTGAGATCAGACAAAATTTCTTCTTCTTCAAGGTCAAACTGTTCCAAGGACAATTCATTAACCTGGGAAGAGAAATCAAGAGTAAATTTCTTTCTCTACAACATATTTTAGCTTCATTCCTCTGCACCTGGAAGCAATATATTTTTACCATGTACAAGAGACAGCCTCCCTGGAATTTACCAACTTGGGAGGGAACATTTATGTTTTGGAAAGACTGACCAACATCACAAGGCAATGAACCAAAAAGAGACCCAGCAGCTCTCCTCCTGAGCAAATCCTTCCGAATTCCTGTCTGTTCCTCTTCCTATCAGGCTGGAAGGTGCCTTATGGAGAGAGAGTGCCGAATTACCTCCCACACACCATCACAAGGGAAGTGAGACAGCAGGGGAGGTGAGGGGTGATTTCTCATAAAAGAGAGGCTTGGGAAGCAGCAGGCTTTCTGTTTGACTCTGCTGCTCACTTCTCTTATGGTCAGTACTTGTTAGGTCAGCTCTCTGTGGGTTAAAAAGAGGTCAGATGGAAGGGGCTGTACAGAGGAAAATGCAGAGAGAGGACAAACCAGCAGAAATTTAATCTTCTGATAAAAAAAAATATGATGGATGTTAGTTACTTCACACACCAAAATACTCTTATTTTATTGCTACTCTTCAGTAAGAAGGGAAAATAGTTCTGCCCGTGGACACTACGTGACTCAGTGTCACCAAATGGAATAGCGTGTCAGAAGGTTCATGAGACACTTCCTCTGTGCAAACTGCAGGAGGAGTTAGGCACTGCGCAGCGCGGTGCTGATGCATCATGTGAGAGCAATGCTTGCTTTCAAAATACCGCCATATATCAGTGGTCTCCCCTGGAAAGTTGCAGTGTTTTCAGACTAAGTGAGATGAAAATCCTCTGCTCACAACTGGCTGCATGCAAAGGCTGGTACGCAGAACGCATCTCACCGAGCATGATGATTAATGTTTTACTGTTGAACTGGGGATTTTTGTTCAGTGCATGCTAACAGATCTCACAACTACCTGCAGGGATTTCACCAAAGCTTTTAACAATCATTCCCTCTGGGTAAGGATAAGTTTATGAAGTGGATTTCTAGATGGGGAGCTTGATTTCTTTAAGAACTTATTAAAAAATAATTTGATTTAACCTACTGTGACTTTACCAGGATTTTCACTCTCACAGATTCTATGAAGAGCAGTCCTGGGCACTGTCATGTAAGAGACTTGTCAAACTGCACCATAACATTCCTGTACCCTCACTGCTCACTTTCCTGTGCCATCTAAAATATACATGCATTTCTGCACAAAGATACCCAGAAAAGTAGGAGTTTTAAAACCTTAGTGTGGTGTACAATTCCAAGATGTAATTACTTCCTGGGATTTAAGCTGAGGTAATTGCTGCATAAAAGGAGGATGTCAGAGGCTGTAACAATTAACAGCTGTATTTTCACTACCTAGAGGTAACATACAGATCCTGTGCAAAAGCTAGATATCCACTGCTTTTACCTGAACAAGCCCCTTCAGTTCCTCTTCTGTTAAGGTGTCTGTGGGCTCCTCTTGGGAGGGATTGTACTCCACAGCCACTTTCCCATTCTCTGAAACAGAATAAACAGTTGGAGACATGGTTAGTTACAACTATGTGTAATGACAATAAACCTACCCTAAACTCCAAATGGGACAATTCTGCTTAACTCTGTTAAATCATTAAAGATCGCAACACAAGTTTAATTTTGTCTGAGGCCCCCCAAGCCTCAGTGAATCCCAAGAAAGGTTCAGAGAAAAAGAATTCGTATCAATTATCATGAAAGTTATAGTATCATTAACCCAAACGTCCCAGTGTTTAATACAAAAACAGGCCTTACCTAATACTATGAGGAGTATCTTCTGAAAGGCACTAGACAAAGCTTTCCCAACTGCGAGTTTCTGAACTCTTCTTGTGGCTGCGACAATCTCGAGAGGATCTGAACACAACAAGCAGCGTGTTATTGATATTAAAATGACACTCTGCATGTGAAGCACACCAGCTGCATCGTACGAGGAAATGTAACCAAACACGGCTTTATGGATCTGATAAGAAAGCAGCTTATGTTTTGGGAGTTGTCAGCAGCATGGCAGCACCCTCACAGGGGCTTTGCGTGCCAACCCACAGCAGCACACAATCCTCAGGCCTGTGTCAGGACCCTGCCCAGGGCAGCGGGTGGTGCAGAGCCCGGCTGGCACCTGAGCTGTGCCACAGACACAGTCACAGGGCATGTTCACACCAGAAGTGGCTGTGATGGGGAATGAGTAACGCCACAGGCAAAAGGGAGAGAACAGAGGGTAGGAAAGCAATACTGGTGTGAAGCAAGGAGGGAAGAGGC